CTCCTCTGGACAGCATCGAGCATGGACAATGTAGTCGGGGCGGCAGCACCCCAAATGTGTGAGCAATACTCGAGTGTAGGCCTTATCTGGGCCTTGTATAGAGTGATAGTGTCATGCGGAGAAAAGTACTTCTTAGCCCTAAACAAATAGCATAGCTTTTTCCCAGCAGCTGCAGCTATTGAAGAGATGTGTTCGTGCCAGATCAGGTCCTCGGTGATCTGGACTCCGACCAACCGAAATGAATGGCTCTTTGGTAGAACTCGACCGTCCATCGAAACTGGATGAGCGCTAGGACGCTTTTTGTTCGTCAAAGTACAGTACTGGGTTTTGGAAGCATTGAACTGTACAAGATTGTCCAGGTCTCTTGTCAGAGAAGAAGTCGTCGCTAGTCTTCTTTTTTCCAGCTCAGCGGCAGAGATCGGCTTGTCACTCTGAATTCCTGCATGTAGAGTGCTGTCATCAGCGAAGCTGTGGATTGGGTTGATCGTGCAGGAAAGAAGGTCGTTGATATGTAAGAGAAACAGTGTTGGAGCCAAGACCGATCCCTGGGGAACACCCGCGTTGACGTTGTGGGATGAAGAGGAGAATCCGTCAATTACGACGGATATCTTGCGGCCAGAGATAAAGTCAGCCACCCATCTGCAAAGCTTTTCTGGGAGGCCATAGGATGGAAGTTTGCTTAAGAGGGCAGCGTGCCACAGCTGATCGAACGCTTTCGTGACGTCAAGAGCAACGACATGAGCCTCACCATGAGACTGGATGAGTTTACTCCACAGTTGCGTGACGTAAGCTAGGAGGTCCTCTGTGGATCGTTGGTGCCGGAAACCGTACTGCCTGTCGCTAATCAAGCTGTGACGTTCGAGATAGTCCAGAAGCTCGCGATTTATGCACCTCTCCATCACTTTACTTATAACAGAAAGCAGAGCTATAGGCCTGTAGTTGTAAGGGTCGGTTTTAGATCCTTTTTTTGGGATGGGCTGTACATGAGCAAATTTCCAGTTTTCTGGGAAGGTGCCGGATTCATAAGATATCTGGAAGAGACGCGAAAGAACTGGAGCAAGCTCCGCTGCACATCTCTTCAGTACAATGGCAGGAATCAAGTCCGGACCAGAAGCTTTGTTGATGTCGAGCGACAAGAGCACTCGTCTTACGGTCTTATGCCTGAATGTTACCTCCCGCATAGTGTGGGGAACCCTTTGAATTGACGGCACTTGGGCGTTGGTGGGGACGTCCATGGTGGAGTTGGCAGCAAAGATCTTGGCTAGCACTTCCGCCTTGGCCTTTGAGTCGAATACAATAGTTCCATCCTGACACGTAAGTGGTGGAAGGCTACTGTGTGAGAAGTTCTTTTCAATCTGCTTGGCCAGCGTCCAGAAAGACCGACTGCCATTGCGCTGCGACATTACCCTGTGCCTAACTTTTATATAATGCTGGTTTTTGGCATTGCGAACCGCTTCGTTATATTTGTTTCTGGACTCGACGTCGGCTTGTCTGTTCTCTACAGTGGGGTTTTGTAAGTAGGTTCTGTGGGCCTTGATCTTCTGCTGGCGAGCAGTGTCACACGATTTGTTGAACCAGCCGTTGGACCCTGGTTTAGGAACTTTCACTGTGTGAGGGATGTATTCCTCCATTCCGACGTGGATAATTTCGGTTATTGAAGAACAGACAGTCGACGCATCCGCGTCAGTGAAACAGACATCTCTCCAAGGAAAGCTAGAGAAGAAATCTCTGAGCCCCTCCCAGTCGGCATGTCCGTAATGCCAAGTTTTGCGGCCTGTGCGAGTTTCTGCTGCCACAGCGGCTTCTGACCGAAACCTAACCTCCACAACACCGTGATCTGAGTTACCTAGGGGGGACAGGACAGCAGTGCTGTAAGGGGCAGGATGCGTGGTCAGAAAGAGATCCAGCAGGCTACTGGCGTGTGACGAGACGCGGGGGAAAAAAGTAGGGCTCGTCACCAGCTGGGTCAGCCCTTGAGTAAGAGCGAACGCTTCGACTGCACGACCTGCTGCAGCGGTCTTATTTGAGCCCAACCAAAGCTCATTATGGGCATTGAAATCACCGAGAAGAACTACCTCTGAAGCGGGGTGATTGATGTTCAGGAAGTCGATCTGGACGGCGAGGTATTCGAGTAGGTCATCCCAGTTATGGTTCGAGGGAGAGCGATAAAGGCAGCAAATAAATTTGGGTGATGTTTTGGAGTTGAGGCGAAGCCACAAAATGTCCTTCCGGTCTGATTCCAAAGAAAGATCCCTGGAGCAGGAAAGACTGCTGCGGACAAAAGCCACAACTCCCCCGTTCTTTCTCAGATTGGAGTGCACCTCGTAGTTTGGGAAGTTGAGATGGTTAATCAGTGCAGTCTCTGAGATTTTTGTCTGTATGAGAAAGTTGTTACTGAATATGCTGCCAATGAAGTATATCTATTGGCTGTGTCCTACGATTTATTTATACATCTGAGGACAGGTTATGTTTAAAGTTATAAATTACGATTTTTCCCGTATCCGCATTTTCGCAATGCCCCACATCTAGGCGCTAATTTCTATTTTCTATTGAAAGCGGAAAATAAATTTCTATAAAATTTAAATGACTGGAAATAAAAGGTAATATTACCCTTTTCACTTTCAGAAATAGCATATTTTCTCACCTGTTCCTTCACCAACCAGGAATTTTCTTTTCTCGTCGCTCTCATTTTTGAAATTCATTAAAGTTGCATATGTAATTTCTAGCTTTGAATAGCAAGTAAGTGTATTTGAGACAAGAACCCAATGGAATTATCATCAACACATATTATAAGGACACAAATTCTCACTATACACCTTGCATTGCCGTTTCCTTCTAGCTTAGACCTTCGGTAATGCCATCTGTGAAGCAGATTTTACATCACATCAGAGTCAAACATTGATAACTAAAGCATCTGACGTTTAGGCAACATATACAACAAAACGAGCTCACAACAAGTATCCATCAGCTAGTGCTAAATCAACATCTTGTAGAGAAACCTACATAATGTCACAAAAAACCTAGATAATGTCACAAAAAACCAATTTGATGTCAAACCAAACCGACGTAATGTCACTTTTCAGGATACGAAATACCTGTGCAGGTGACACAATAATAAAGGACGCCTACTATGTCTCAGCAACCTAGAGCCATCCATTAAACAATTTCATAACAAAAGTACTCGTAACCAAGGGAAATTAATGGAAATTGTTTTCAGCTTCCTAAAATGGACGCCAATGTCAAAAAGTAAAACCCCATTATTTTTCAAAACTGCGTAACCAACGTACCTATTTAACAACTCTACTTTGTTGATTGGTCAATTTTCGAACCATTTCCTAGATGTCATATTTTAATATTTTGTTTCCTTTAGGGTGGAGAAGGGTTGACTATCATTTCAGAAAAAGTAAACTTCAGTTTGTCTGTACCAATTAACTTCATTCGAAAGAACTTACGCCTGAGCTCCTACTTAAGGCTCAATCCTGTCAAGTTAGTTCATTTTGTGGCCAGTAGATTGCGTGTCATGATTGTGTCATACAGCGGTATATATTTTTTTGATACTGCTCGAAAAGACCACAAAAATTATTATGAAATGACGAAAATAGCAGATCAATATATTTATTCCTTACGGAGATATAATAAGAAATATGCTTATATTACAATTTACAAGCACTACTGGATAAAATGAGAAATCCATGCTACGAATTTTTAAGCATTTTTTATCCGATTGGTGAGTTTCGGCTGATGTATGAAAAAAGACATACTTCAATTATATCTCATATTTTAACTCAGTTGGCTTTGAATAGGAAAATTCAGGTAATATCCAGCTTTTACCGCTTGTGGTAGGTACATTTTGCAATAGTGTAAATTATGAATTGTTTTATATCCGTTGTAATATTGCATATAGCGGCGATTTCGTTTAAAAGATCGTATTAATGATAATAAAATGTAGTGCCTGAGTATTCGTCCGACAGTTGACCTAGTCATGCCTAAATCTCTAGCGATATATCTTATTTAGGAATCGTATCTAATTTACACGTAGCCTAACACATTTTCCATACTACGGGCTTTCGTTTTTCTGGCAATAGGGGGATGGCGCGGCGGATACTTACCGTACTCCCTAGTCGCCAGGCAAGCCTGCTGAACACTCGTTCGGAATTTTTGGAAAGTCGAATGTCAACTTGGAAACGACGCGACCTCTACGATTTTGACTTGTTTTATTTTAGATTATTCTTTTGTTTCTGTTCTAGAATGGCATGCTAGATTTTAAATGGAATAGCCGGAATAGCCATAAACTAATACAATGGATCTAAAATAATTCAAAATTTGCACTCTTACAGGATATAACCACCACAAACGGTAAACACTCGGATTTCTTGAATTATTCGCATTTTAAAGGCAAATGACGTATAATTGAAGTATGTGTTTTTTCATATATCAGGCGACACTTGCAGTCCGTTATAAAAAGCGTAAAAATAAATTTCTAAGTAACATCTGTTAAAATCGTAGTAGTACCTGAAAATTGTAATTTTAGGCATATTCTTCGTATCTCAATAACGAAAAAAGATACTGATCTACGGTTTTTGCCATTATATAGATTTTTTATGCTCCTATAGTAAAAAAGTATACCGTATTTAAAACAGTGACACATCCATAAAACGCTGTCTCGTGGCCACAGAGTGAACTAATTTGACAAGATTGTGCCTTAAGTAGGAGCTCGATGCTTTCGTGTGTTTGAGCAAAAAAAATCCAGCCATGGACGTTTGTTTGGTGCTTCTCGTTTACTTTATTCTACGGCAGAATCGTCAGCCTCCTAGCGGTCACGTGGTGACTGGGCTATTAAACGTGAACAAAGGTACCTAAGAGTTCCAACTAGTAGCAGCTATGCGCTTTCCATGTCGGCCGAATTGGTTAGGTTAATGCATTCTTTACACTAAAAAACTAACCAAATTAATTTGAACCTCCAATAAATCTCTTTGGCCGTGGATGTAATAAATTTCAATATGTTTGATCGGTTTGCTGAATCGTAAACATGCTTAAAACCACTAAAATACGTGCAGCCATTACGAGGGATGTCTTTTAAGTTTTGCATATAGAAACATAGTAGGCCGCGCGGATCAAACGTCAGTACTGAATCTTAACCTCACTCTTTAGTAAACTGAAATTCAACGTTTCACAACAATACGTGCAGTGTTCTCACTACAGTGAATTTTTAAGTGTCACTAAGTCATCAGAAAAATCGAACTCAACCGAGAACATTTTCGCGCCATAATTTATTATAACTTTCAGAGACAATTATCGCAACAAGAATGCCTTGCTGAGTTACTGTCTGTTTTCGGCAACGAAGTGCCACATCAGTCGACAATGCCCCGTTGGTATGGAGAATTCAAACGTGGACGGGTGAGTCCTAGCGACGATCCCAGGGTGGGTGCACCAAAAACGGCAGTCACCCAGGAAAACGTCGATGCTGTGCGCAAACCCATCATTGAAGATAGACATGTGTCATATCCTGAGATTGAGGCGTCCTTGAATATCTCAAAGACCTCAATTCCAAAAATTTTACATGAAGAATTAGGAGTAAGAAAATTAGTTTCTCGTTGGATACCCCACCTGTTGACTGAAGAGCAGAAAGCAGGCAGGGTTAATTGGTGTCAAAAAACGCTTGACCGTTTCAATTCCGGAAACTCAAAAAATGTGTGCAGCATTGTTAGTGGTGATGAATCGTGGATTTACTGTTATGAACCAGAAAATAAATGACAGTCGGCTGTTTGGGTGTTCCAAGGTGAAGAAAAGCCAACAAAAGTCATCCGTTCTTGAAGAAAAAGATGGTCGCGACATTTGTCTCAAAAGCGGGTCATATTGCAACAATTCCTCTTAATGAGTAAAGAACTGTTACTGCGGATTGGTATACCACCATTTGTTTGCCAAAAGTCATCACCGAGCTTCGAAAAATCAACCCCGAAAGAAGAATCATTCCCCACCAAGACAATGCAAGCTCGCACACAGCCCAAAAACAAGGCAGTATTTAACGGAAGAAAACGTGGAATTATTGGACCATCCTCCATATAGTCCCGATCTAAGTCCTAACGATTTCTTTACTTTCCCGGAAATTAAAAAAAGACTGCGTAGTCAACGGGTCCAGTCACCAGAAGAAGCAATTGACGCATTCAAAAATGCCGTTTTGGATCTACAAGCAAACGAGTGGGATAAGTGCTTCGAAAATTGGTTCGAGCGCATGCAGATGTGTATTAATCTTCGTGGAGAATACTTCGAAAAACAATAAAGTTATTTAAAACTACCTACCGTGTTGTTTGATTTCCATATGCAAAACTTAAAAGACATTCCTCGTACAATTGCTTCTCCTGAGGAATATTTCACAATATAGTGGATGCGCCTACCGTCAAGCAGACGGTTGGGACTGCCAGCAGTTTATAGATCATTCAGATACTTACTGGCGAATGAGCCTGATTAAAATTCTGAACCCGATAATGTGCTAATTGCATTGAATATTTAGTTTTTCCATTCATTCGCTACCTGAGAATACTGATTCATTATATATCTAGTTAGGATAATATCAACAATGGACAGTTGGCACTGGATAATGCAAAGGAAGTCTCTTTTGGAAAACGCGGCCATCCTGTTTTTGTGTTGTCATCAGCAAAATGTCAAATCCGGTTTTGAAATTATTTAACATGTGTCGATTTTGCTTCCAACGCCACTGGCAAGGAGGTATTGTAATCGCGAAAAATTTAAAAAATGAGATATCGTGTTTTTGTTTTCACATAAGGTTGCTACTATTCCAAAGACAAAAAAGCTTTGTAGTTTCTAAATACCAGTCTAGTGGCGGCAAAGCTAGTGCCAAAAATGAAAAAAAAACACTCAATTGTTCTTCGACTTTTCAGCGACTTTTTCAAAAAAAATATTGTAAGGGTTGGAAATAGAGGGTTGGAGGTTGTAAGGGTTTCATTTTTGGTATCAGTGAAAGATGATTTATAATTCAGAAACCTGTGATCATGGAACCTGTTCGACGTAATATTTCGCATAGTATTTACGTCTGCGCTCGGCAATAAGAGCTACCCAGGAACATAACATCTTACTTGTGGAGGAACTTTTTCGAATTCACTAGGTCGCAGCGTTATCAAGGTCGTCGACAACGTGCGGTGATGTAATGACCCTGGCGTATAATCAGAGTCCGATAAAGATTAGACTATCAACACAAACAAGTTTCATGTAGATTTGACCAGACCTGCCTGCCGACATGTATACTAAGTGACATATAAATCCGAACACCCAGTCTACATGGTTTTATTTTAATAAAATTTTGTATAAGTACTTAATGAAGCATAATAAGTGAATGATAAAAATTTCAAAATGATTGCACTGCTTTAAAGCCCTTTGACCTTTAATAATGTGTGGATGCACCCTGATGTGCTACGCATTCTCCAACGTGCCTAGGCATGCTTCTGATCAGGTGGTCAATCTCCTCCTGTGGTATCTCATTCCAGGCAACCACCAACTCCTCTCGAAGTGCTTCTAGAGTCTGAGGAGGACGTTGCAAATTGAGCAATCTCCTACCCATCATATCCCACACGTGCTCAATTGGGGATAAGTCGGGAGATCTTGGTGGCCATGGTAACAATGTGACATCATTATGTTGAAAGAAGTCTAGTGTGACTCTTGCAACATGTGGTCGGGCATTATCTTGTTGGAAAGTTGGATCTGCCAGGGTGTCAAGATAGGGTAAAAGATGGGGTTCTAGAACTTCGTGGATATAACGCTGCGCGTTCATGTTACCTATGATGAAGATTAAAGGTGACCTGGAACCATAAGCTATAGCACCCCAAACCATAACTCCAACAGTGTGATGAACATGTATTTCAACAAAAGACTGTGGATTCCTCCTTTCACCACGTCGCCTTCTAACCCTGGCACGACCATCGTGCATGCCTAAACAAAATCGAGACTCGTCACTAAAGACAATACTGTTCCATTCCTGATCCCAGAGTGACCGTTGTCTACACCACTCAAGGCGATTACGTCGGTGTTCTCGAGTTAAAGGGAGGACCAAGTGTGGCCGGTATGAAAACAAGCCAAAACTTCTCATTCGTCGGTAAACACTTCGCATGCCAATAGGTCTTCCGTGTTCTGCAAACCGTTCATTTGCAATGGACCTGGTCCAGTGCCGCTTGCTCTTTGCGTACGGCCTTCTCGAAGCCATGCCTGACAACATCTAACCACAGTGTCTACACTTCTTTGCACTCTAACTGCAATTGCCCGAAATGAAAGTCCAGCTTCCCGAAGTCCCACTATTCGGCCCCTATCAAACTCACTAAGTTGACGAAATCGTACAGGTCTCCGTACTCTAGACATCGTAACCGATCGTAAAGGATGTCAAGAACCAAAATCCGCCAGCGTTGATTCTTTACTGCGGCTGAAATATTCATTTTTAGAGCGTTAGTGAATTAAAAAAAAGCAGTATAAAAACCGGAATGTCCAACTGATAAGGCTGAAAATTTTTTCACTTGTTATTTACAGTAAGATAAATACATTCACCAACTTTTATTAAAATGAAACCATTTAAACTGGGTGTTCGGATTTATATGTCACTTGTCAAATGCTACAAATCGGATAAACTGCAGTTATGGAGATAAAGAAAAATTGTTAAACCTGGATCAAGCGTTTTTTATATAGCTCTAACCCCTGAATTCAAATACTACGCTCATTTAGCTACTACATCTTCAAAACTACGAAAAGTTGCAGTTATAAAAATAAAAAAATCAGAAATCAGGACTTTCATTACATCGATGGGAGTTACTTCTTGCAGACGGCAAGTTAACCTCTAATGAAGAGCTGCAGTCGCTTGATGATGACGTCGGCGAGTCTGAATTCGCTCCCTGACCATGCGCCGATACTGAGTTTCAGAATCCCTACAGCGTAAAGTACTTGTCGCTTGTAGCTGCCACGACGGCATACACGCCGTTAACCGAGAGGGTTATATTGCCCACCGTCACCACGTGGCTGTGCACAATCAATCAGCTGTCCGTAAAATACACATACGCACCAATTTCAATTGGCGGTTTTTCGCAGTTAACTCAAAACGGACCTGAAATCGTATTCACCGCGTTGAAATTCATATTTGTTTGGTAAAATGTACAGACCGCTGTTTGAGGTGTCCATGGCCAGTCAATCGTGAAAATAAAAGTATCAAAGGTAGGTAAAAGGGATTGATATTCAATGACCATCATTTTTCAAATGAACAGTACCATTCTTTACTAATTACTCATTCTACTCTACGACTCTGCGACTTTATGTCAAGGTATAAGGATCTTTATAGCTAAAGGATAATAAAAATACCAGAGCGTGCAAAGGCTGACTTAATATATGCTAAACGTGATACGTATTCGCTTGACGGCATTTTTTTCTTTGTTATTTTCTACTACTACTGATTTACTGTTTCTTCCCATATATACTAAGTGACATTTAAATCCGAACACCCAGTTTAAATGGTTTTATTTTAATAAAATTTTGTATAAGTACTTAATGAAGCATAATAAGTAAATGATAAAAGTTTCAAAATGATTGCACTGCTTTAAAGCCCTTTGACCTTTAATAATGTGTGGATGCACCCTGTTGTGCTACGCATTCTCCAACGTGCCTAGGCATGCTTCTGATCAGGTGGTCAATGTCCTCCTGTGGTATCTCATTCCAGGCAACCACCAACTCCTCTCGAAGTGCTTCTAGAGTCTGAGGAGGACGTTGCAAATTGAGCAATCTCCTACCCATCATATCCCACACGTGCTCAATTGGGGATAAGTCGGGAGATCTTGGTGGCCATGGTAACAATGTGACATCATTATGTTGAAAGAAGTCTATTGTGACTCTTGCAACATGTGTTCGGGCATTATCTTGTTGGAAAGTTGGATCTGCCATGGTGTCAAGATAGGGTAAAAGATGGGGTTCTAGAACTTCGTGGATATAACGCTGCGCGTTCATATTACCTCTGATGAAGATTAAAGGTCACCTGGAACCATAAGCTATAGCACCCCAAACCATACCTCCAACAGTGTGATGAACATGTTTTTCAACAAAAAACTGTGGATTCCTCCTTTCACCACGTCGCCTTCTAACCCTGGCACGACCATCGTGCATGCCTAAACAAAATCGAGACTCGTCACTAAAGACAATACTGTTCCATTCCTGATCCCAGAGTGACCGTTGTCTGCACCACTCAAGGCGATTACGTCGGTGTTCTCGAGTTAAAGGGAGGACCCAGTGTGGCCGGTATAAAAACAAGCCAAAACTTCTCATTCGTCCGTAAACACTTCGCATGCCAATAGGTCTTCCGTGTTCTGCAAACCATTCATTTGCAGTGGACCTGGTAGTGGAGAAACGGTCTCTTAAGGCCAATAATCTTAGGCGCCGATCTTCATGGTCTGTTGTTCTACGGCGGCGTCCAGTGCCCCTTGCTCTTTGCGTACGGCCTTCTCGAAGCCATTCCAGACAACACCTAACCACAGTGTCTACACTTCTTTGCACTCTAACTGCAATTGCCCGAAAAGAAAGTCCAGCTTCCCGAAGTCCCACTATACGGTCCCTATCAAACTCACTAAGTTGACGAAATCGTACAGGTCTCCGTACTCTAGGCATCGTAACCAATCGTAAAGGATGTCAAGAACCAACATCCGCCAACGACAGATTCTTTACTGCGGCTGAAATATTCATTTTTAGAACGTTAGTGAATTAAAAAAAAGCAGTATAAAAACCGGAATGTCCAACTGATAAGGCTGAAAATTTTTTCACTTGTTATTTACAGTAAGATAAATACATTCACCAACTTTTATTAAAATAAAACCATTTAAACTGGGTGTTCGGATTTATATGTCACTTAGTATATTTTATGCCTAGATATGGTGGTTTATTACACATTAATATAGTCATTGTACAACTACCAGAAAAAAAGGCGGTATAGAAAGGTTTCCAAACATCAATTTTCAATAACTGCAACAGCAATATCTTATGTAGAACATACCCTGCACTGAAGGACGTCTTCAGCAGTTTGACATCAGTGAAAAAGCCAAAACGATATCCTCAGAACAAAGCTAGAACTCTATGTCTGTGTTTAACGTTGTCTTCTATTTATCCAAGTCAGCGATGCCTACTGGAGCACAGAAATGTGCTTCCAGCAAATCAAAGACATTGTAAATGTGCCGCGCATACTATGTCCAGAAATAGAATCTGTCAGGAAAGGGAATATTCAAAACATCTAATTATTTTCTCTGTGATGCGAGGGAATGCAAATACGTCTGGTCGGCAAAGGGAATTCGCCAAGGCAGAGGCTCTATGTCTGTGTGTGTGAGAGAGGAAATGTTTGTCAGTTTCGTATGCCGTTTGACTTGGAGCTGACCTTAATTCAAGGAAATTTCCATGTAAGGAGAGGATGCAGTGGTTACCCGTAATTACTTGCACGTTATTCACGCTGCTGGAGGCCGGATTTGAAATATGTTATGAAATATTTCATGGAACTAGAGTGCTTGCCTTACAGCTGCAATTCTGCGGAGAGCTATAGTCCACTTTAACCTTAGTGAGGATAGCTGCATAGTGTTTAGAGCATTTTGATGCTATTTACGAGTATGAAGCTACTAACTTTTACAAGTGGTTTCTGATGATACAAAGAGCAGACACTAAAACCTTTTTTAAATAATGGTTCAGAAGGTAGCAGTAGATTCTCGGTAATTGTTTTTCGGCTAAAACCATATTTTCCCAGGTATGATGGAACCAGACACTGACAACATTCCAACGAAACGTCAACGTTATACCATCACAGGCGGCAACATTTTCGTGAATCACTATTTAATTGCTCCAATTTGTTTTAACAACTGGAGCGGAGCCATTACAGAGCGCTCGTATATTCGCTGGAAAAGGTTGTGCCGTTTGTGTTTATAGATAGTTACTTTTGTTTTCACATTGCTCTGTTAAACAAAACTGCAACATCAAAGTGCTCTGCTAATGAGAAATCTCTAACAGAATACTAATGAGGTGCATCATCCTCGTTGGAGTTACATGTTCAGGAAAAATGGAAGCAGACAGAGGTTAACAGTTAAGGAGGTTAATACTAAATTGTAATGATTTACAAACCTGTCACGTTGTTAATGCACCATGTTGATATGGTAATATGAATAGTGTAATGAATCCGATATTAGCTTCTGATAATCATCAATTAAACTTGTTTTCGAATTTTTTGAGAAAATACCAGACAAAGCCGAAGAAAACAGAAATGAGCTTACAGAATAGAATACGTTGGTTAGAACTCGAGAACTTTAGACTCATCTAGAAAATTAACTGCGACACAAAGCAGCCCATTATACGTAAGTGATTGCTGACCTTGCAATGCCAGTATTGTCTTAAAGTTTCTTACTTCAACGTGACTAGAGTTTTGTGGTTCGAAAGCAAGGCCGACAACCGGACACTGATTGGTCAATTCAAACGGTTTGACTAACAGATTCAGCGTAAGAGAGTGAATGGGCATCCAGATCTGATTTTTCTGTGTGTTCACGAATAGTGCACAGATGCTCAGTCATATATAGGAGGATGTTAAACGAGCGTACGGACAACAAATTGAGCTCCTTATCAAGTAGAGCAGCTCGATCTTATGTCGGATGGCGTAGTCCGTCATCTTGTCGTGGTTTGGTTATGCTGGGGTAGTACAAAATTAAACTTAAACTTCAACATCTAACTAACATTAGACACTGCGGGGGAACGATAGGGTGCCGTAGAATTAGAAGGGCGGTAGTCAACCTTCAGGTATCCCCAGGCTTAAGTTTCAGGAATTATTATTTATTGATGTTACATTCATTTTGATGGTAAAATGTTTAGCCCAGATAGTGATTCGATACTAAGGGTAGAGATAGTCTGAACTTTTGCACTTAATATACCATAACTGTCGGTATTGCGGATTTAAGGGCGTTTTTCATTTAAAAGGTTAAAGATTTATGTGTTTCCTTCATTAGCAAACAAAAAGTTTCAACGAACAGGTAGAAAATTGCTTGCATCCGCTCACAGCCCGGCATACCCTTGTATAACCAAAATTTAAATCGTTGCGTTTCCTCAAAAATCCGATGATTCTCTTAAAAAGCCAAGATACTGAAAATCGAACTCATTGAATCGGTCCAAAATATTTTTTAGGCCAATAAATATCCACCTTTTCTCCCATTCCATTGAAACCATGTGTGTTACTTTAATGGAATCAACTATGCTCTACAGAAGCTTTGCAGAAGACGTCATCTGCAAATGTGCTGCCTTTTAAAATAATTATGACTCAGGTCACCGAGTGAGTGCAATGCATTCAGCTCTAGTCGTATACGAGTACTTCAACATCAAAAGGATTTTATGATTTATCCTATATCCTGTTTCAATCAACGACGCAATGGTGCATACCACATACTCATAACTATTGATTAATCTTTTCTCTGAACGTTGATATGAATATGCGTTCGTGCAGAATTTGAATGCTTCATTAACAGCACATTTTTGTTCAAATATATTTATCTGCAATTCAAAAGGAATATAATCAGTCATGTTGTTTGTGTACATTATTTTATCGATTTATTTGCAGTGGCTGTATCTGTATTTGGACTCCATCGTGTTTCACAGTAGCAAATAAATTTTCTTTCAAGTCTGTGTAATTGTCGGAAATGCAAATGTCACAAGGAGTAGGCAATAGAAAGCTCTTCAAATACTTGTTTAGTATTTAGTTTGGTAGCAGTTTACCTTCTGTTTGTTGTTGTGGAAGATCTGATTTCAACTTCGTTCCGCTAATATAGTCTTGATGGGCCATCTTAATCTTCAAAGCATTTTTATGAATCATTCCTCTTTTACCCTAGTTGGCCTAGTTCAATCTACTAATCATATACAGGGTCTTCATTTGAAAACCTCCCACCACGGATTTATCGAAAATCACTGAGTAAAAGAATAAACGCCGAGACACGTCAAAAGATTTTTCAAGGGGGGCAACTTTTTAACCAAAAACTACTTCACCCCCTTTCACCCTCGGCCCCCAGGGCCATTCCCTTAAAAATTTTAAATAACAAGGGGTGTCGAGTAATAGCTTGTTTGAAAGGTCTTTCCAAGTCCTTTCTTTTGAGGTTTGATTTTTAAAAATCAGTCGACAATTCTTTGGGCGTGTCTGTATATTTTTTCTTTTAATCAGCGGTTTTCAATAAATCCGTGGTAGGAAGTTTTAAAATGAACAACCTCTATGTTTTTACTACAGTACGAACGACAAAGTCTTAATGCCTACCCTACTTAGTCGGCCCATATCTAGCTTGACCTAAGTTACATGAAACATTAGTGACCCAAAAAATATAGATACATATTATGTATATTCCTTCATTCACTTTAATATGAAATAATGTAATTTAATGCCAAATGTTGATGAGGATGATTCAGAAAACGAGAAATATTGTTCATGATTGAGAAGGAAATTCTCTAGATCCAGTTTGAAACATGTCCTGTTTCTCTCATATCAAAACCATATGCAACAAATTGTTTTGGCCCCTGAGATGAAGGCACGTTGGAACATGGCTGTTTGATGGTTTGGAATGGTCAGAACATTAAAGTCCCTCATAGGTATGTTTTGGACATTTGTACTAAATAATATTCCCCAAATAAAGCGGTGACGACTAACAAAAATTTTGACTTAAAAGCGTAAGAAATGGTGGACATACAACTTTTGCCGCTCCTCTCCTTTTATGTCTCTTGTCAGTGGAATGGTATGTTTGTACTTTGTTTTTCTTATTATTGGCCTGCAATAAGCATTTTATATTTTTTTGTAATCTCTGTGCCGATTGGAAGTATGTTTAATTTTAATTAGCTTGCTTTGCTAGTATTAAAAATATCTGAACAAAAACGTAGACCTTCACCAAAATAGTAATGTCCAAGACATTTAATACTGTCAGGTTTGCACCGTCCATTTTTATATGCATGTCCAATTTTAAAAACTCTCTTCTCATAGGGTCAAACCGCATGAGAGACACGTATTAGAAAATCTTTTGAAGGTCGCTGTTCAAGTTTCCTGTAACTCCATCGTGTTTAATTCAAAAGTTGCGTATCGTCCGCATAACAATTAGCTTCACAATACACTAGTTCTTTAAACAGGTCAAATGTGTAGATAAGTAATAACAGCGGTCCTAGTACCGATTCCTGTGATACACCTGAGAGAACATTTTGTGACTATGAAAACGAATTATTATTTATTAATTATATTAACTAATATCACTACGGTAACATATACTACTCGTATATCTTTACTTTTAAGCTTTTAAGTTAGTTAAGTAGGTTTTGTTAGGTTAAGTGGAAGACCAGCCATTCCTCTATAGGAATGAAAGCTGAACTTCGCCTTTTCCAATCATCACGTCCATATCTCTGTACCTTGGTACCAACGAATAAAGATGATTATTATTATTATTATTATTATTCAATTACATACTTTCGATCTCCTCTGATCGGACAGTACCAGCCACCGGAACCCAACAAGGGTTCTGAGGTTTAGCTGGCTCTTATGTTAATACTCTTCTCAGAATGTGGGCTGATCCTAGCAGTGCAATCTTTTGCAGTTCATATATATCTGGCTTTCCTGGTATTTGATCTAAGTACGTATGCGTTTCCTTTTTAATTGCTCCCAATGAGCCAATTATAACTGGTATAACTTTAGCTTTTACTTTCCACATACGCTGTACTTCTATCTGTAAATCTTTATATTTTGAGATCTTTTCTGCCTCCTTAATAGTAATGTTCTGATCGTCTGGGATAGCTACGTTCACAAGTATGCAAGTTTATTATTATTATTAGTATTATCTGTATCTGCTTTTTGGTTCCTGCTTTTTAAGAATGAACATAAATGTTGAATAGCTGAATCACTGATACCCATGAACATAAATTTAGCCAATAACAAGTTGTAAAATCTCACCTGTATCAAGTGCCACAATTAAACATGATAATGATTTATCTAGAGAATATCAGACAGCTGTTACAGTACCTTTTCTGAAAGCAGATTTACTTTCGGGTAAGCTGCTATTTGGAAACATTGACAGAATAAGAAATCGATCACAAACAGTTGTAGTCGATATGAACACTTCTCCTGAGACCTTAGTATCATCGAGAGTGCCTCCAGGGTCGGTTCTGGGACACTTATTTTCATGTTATATATCTCCAATCTTGATAAGTTTGTTGAATATACGTGCAATTTTCAGTTTTTTGCAGATGACTCGCAGTTATACAATAATTTTAATACTGACTGAATAATAATTGCTGAGGCTCAAATTAGTGAAGACTTGAGGTCTATCAACAAGTATGCAAACATTCATTATCTTAGATTATATCCAGAAAAATCAAAAGTAACTGTATCCTTTCCTAAAAAGTTCAGAAATCAGATAAGGAAATATTCGACTATATCATTAAAAGTTGGAATTATAAAATTATGTGGATCTGTGAACAATCTAGGCATATTTTTTGATGAATATCTGATTTTTTTTTCTCATGTGAACAATGTTGCAAAAAGTTGTTGTTTAGTACTTTTTAAATGCTTTATTATTTATTAAAGACAAATATGTATAAGATTTGTCAAAGTATATATACATTATGTACACTCACACACACGTAGATAATAAATTTTACATCAAAATTCAAAAAAGGAACACACAACAACAGAAATAACCAACAACATTCAGGATAAAATCTTAAACACTGATTCAATCGGCCATAGACTAAAAATACTTTTCAACCTACATTTAAAATGTTCAGTGATTCTGATCTTTTTTATTCGCTCTGAAAATGCATGAATCATGCAATCGAACGCCCTCCAGCGTTTCAGCCCGCATTTCGCGATTTTATTTAAAAAACAAAAGTGAATTTCATTATGGCTCACCCTGTATTTGTAAAATATTGAAGTCTTCGAAAATTACGAATAAATAATTTAAATATTTGTAGAACATTGAAATCTTGCGAATATTTTGATGATATTCCATGTTACTAATCGCATTTTTCCAGGCACTCCTTTGGGATACCCCGATTTATGGCCTTCAATTCCCTTTTTGTCTCAACATAGACTACGAATGGATACAAGTAGGTCGGTGGACTGCAAACCCTTCTTGACCTCCGTGGTCAGCTTTGTCGCCTAAAAGAGGATGAAAAAAACCACATGTTCGAAAATTATGAAGAATTTAAATATTTGTAAAATGTTGAACTCTTGCGGATATTTTGATAAAATTCCATGTCAGTAATCGCACTTACCAGGCACTCCTCAGGGATACCCCGATTTATGGCGTTCAATTCCCTTTTCGTCTCAACGTGGACTACGAATGGACACAGGTAGGGCGGTGGCCTGCGAATCCTTCCTGACCTTCGTAAGCCAGCGTTGTCGCCTAAAAGCGGTTGAAAAAAATCACACTTTCGAAAATTTTGAATAATTCAGATTTTGCAAAACATTGAAACCTTGCGAATATTTTGATAATATTCCATGTCAGTGATCGCACTGACCAGGCACTCCTCAGGGATATCCCGATTTAAGGTGTTCAATTCCCGTTTTGTCTCAACATAGACTTCGAATGAACACACGTCGGGCGGTGGCCTGCAAACCCTTCTTGACCTTCGTAGGCCAGCTTTGTCACCTAAAAGAGGATCAAAAAAATCACTCAGAGAAAGCTAGGTCAAAGGGCAAAAGTCAAAAGGTGGCGCTAGTTTTGATTGAAAGAATGACCTCCAACCACGTTAGCGACGTTTTACGGGTTAAGTCGTAGAGTAGCTTATGCTAAACTTCGCCCGATAAGACGTTTTATCATTATAATCATCATTATTAATAGCAACGGGACTGAGGTCGTTGAAGTTTTTAAGATTATTAATCTTGAGCAAAGGTGTAGTTTTGGTTTTTTCACTGCTATGGAAAGTAATCAATCTCAACACAATACCATATTTTGTCTGTAGTTACTTTATTATCGGATAATTCTCATTCCCATTGATGTAAGTTTTTTTTTTAAGATTAGCATTGTTTGGATTCGAGAAAAAAATGTTTTTGAGCCTGTTATGCACTAGAACAACTAGGACCTAGTCCCAAAGTATCATCAACCGGACTAGTCATAAAAATATCAGGTCAGTTTCTATTCCATTTTTCTGTTATTAGTTTCAACTTTATCGAATGACGAGTATAATAGTGATAGCTGGAATGCCAGTTGATTGAAATATGATGTACTCGAAAGGACTAAATTTTCTTGGAATCCAAAGTAAGATATTTATTAGAATAAGGAGCGTAGCATTTCTATCTGAACTGACAAATATTACCAGTTCCAGGTAGCTGAAGCTCCTTATATGCTATATATAAGCTCCTTATTATCTCAAACTGCTTTACATTATTACTTTTCCAAAATCAATTCGTGGTACGGTTTTTCACTATTGTTAGAGATGCTCCACTGTTTAATAATATTATACAACTCAACAAACTCGGGAGGTTGTGTGTGTGGCGATGTTAATCACTCACATATTTTTATTAACGGTATAGCATATGAACAATTCGACTTAATTTGTCACTTTGGAAGGTGCGAAGGTACGAAAATTCTCTTAATCAAATAGCAGCAATGGTGGTGTACCTGATATCGGAAATAGTGGAACACCTTGCTTGAATTTCACTCGGTTGTTCTAAATATCTGCTGTGATTCTTAGCTAAAATCAAATACGTAGTTAAGCATAGTATAGAAATTACTGCTTTGCTGCTATCGTTGTCACTATACTCGTATTTATTCAATAAACATATTTGGAAGTAATTTAGTTAATTTGATATTCATAATTTTTTGGGACCTACTGAGCGTCCTCAATATTGTGGCCATAAAAAGAGGACATAAAAAGTACCATTTATAACGTGAACATAAAAACTTTCCTAAGAATTTTAAAATTCAAAAGTCGGAGTTAAAGTTTTAGTTCGACCTTTTCAGTATCCGTCAAAAATGTTGGTTCCTCTCCATTACTTTCAATTTTTTAGTGTTGTTGCTAGGTAACAATTATGCTAACAAACCTTCGGTTCGGACTGAGTAAACAGAAAGACAAGAAATTAACTGAATTAAACCAAAATTACGTCACATTTGTTCCGGTAAAGTCCTAATGTTTGTCCTTTGGCAATGGACATGATCCTTCACCATTTTTACAAATGTCTGGAATGCTAGGACTGTATGGAACCCACGCAAGTTTATATGCTTCCTCAGAGAAGAATTTCATGTAAAATATCAACAACTGTCAAGCTGGCGGCTTAAGCCTGGTCGACTTGATGTATTAACTTTCATCCTATCACACGTTGAAGACAAACAAGCCGTAAATTTGCTGCTTCTACCTAGTCTGAATTCGTTATCGAAGCTACCACGGATAGAGGCAAGGAACATAAGGAACAATGATGCCACCATCTTGATAATGTTTTATGTTATGTGTGTCATCGGTTTCCTGTTAGATTGATTAGTAACCGTATAACAAGGGCTTGGTGTCAATTCAACTATAAACTCTCTATTTACTGACTTTCTGAGACATCAGGTTTCAAAAACACAGTGCTAAACACATAATCACAAAACAAGAACTGGTATAATTTGGATGTAAGCTTACAATATTATCATAATTTTGTTTGCTTTTCGACAGTCCCTTAGAACGCGAATACATACGTTTTAAAAGTTCACGACTACCAATGCTAGAACAAAAGTTGCTGTTATAGAGATATAACATTTTTCTTTACCTTTGAAATGAGCTACGATAGCTAGAACCGATGCTAGATATCCCTCAGAACATTCTTTATCCAACGAAGATATGAAATATGCAGGTCCAACGCAAAACAATTCTAAAAGCATCGCGAAATATTTATATGAAAAGGGGAAACAGTTCAGAAAATATTCCCGTGTAGGAAAAGTTGCGGGGTATTCGTCGGAACTTCGTTGAAATTTAATAGGTTGAATCCTCTTTGCCAGTCACGTGTTTCAATTCTCATGGGTATAAATCTGAAAGCGGGAAAGTTTCAAATTCTGCACTCCACAGGTCACACGCTTTCGCTGCGTCGTTATGCTACTGGCCTGCCGTATTTTCAATGCCGTACCTCGGTGTTTTCCTTTTGGCCAGTATCTGGTTATTATATGCAAAGACTGTCCGCATATATCATACGCTATGCCATGAGAATTTGGAAATTTAGATAGGAAGGGCATATAAGTTACAGCTTCGGTAATAGCAACATTGTTCCTTGGCATTATAAATATAACCTGCCATTTGGTGGCAAGGTATGTGGCTTTCTATATCTGGCCAACTATACTTTTGCAAGATGGGTTGTTTTCTAAATTTGGTTATTTATGCAATAATGCCCTGTACGATTCTCATCCTTTTGATTAAATTTTGTGTTCGTGCCTCATCGAAAAAAATCTGCAACTATGAATCCATTCCCTATATCTGCTCAAAATTGGTTTATGTTTTCATGAAAGCGTGTTGTCTACATACTGCATGAGTTTAACGAGTCCTGAGTCCTTCGGAGTCGGGCTCTTTCGCCAAAATATCAAATAACCGAATGCGGTTTTTGACTGCTTGAATGGAAAATTATCATGCTTATTTTGATGCACTAGTGTAATTCAGCAGAATATTTCTAAAATTGAAAGTGTAAAAGTATGTGTAAGTTCGAAATTTTATTTAAATTTACATTAAGTAGGTAGGTACATAAAAATTACAGAAAAATTGAAATATTAAAATGAGACAAAACTTATCGAAACTAAGAATTGCAGTTGAAAACACAGTTGTAGATATTAGCATTTTTGCAGTCTTTATTAGGGTTAGCAGTATTACTATCCATAATTTTTTCTAATATGCTGTTGCACGCAGTGAATGATTAGTTATTTTTACTTTTTCAACCGCCAAACCTGACTTTTTTGCCTCCGTTGACGTACACTGAGCCCAATTTCCAAAAAGGATTAACAGTTGAGAAAAATATCAGAATATTTCTGTAATTTCTCTTCTCCAATCACATTCTGAACAACCTTGCCGGACACAAATCCGGGTCTTCCACAAAAACCAGCCACTTGGAAGAAGCACATGGTGTATCACCTCATTGAGATGTTTTGTCGAATATTGGGTTGTCCTCCAGTTTAGGTTTTCCGTGCGCTACTAATCTCTTCTTTGAAATAAGAAGTTAAACATTTTACACCTTCTCCTCCTCTCCATGCTAGTTCGTAGGATAAAACAAAATATAACTTTATTTTGTAAGATATCAGGCGTTTTTCATCACAGTTCTGTATCATGGCTTTGAACTCATCGTATATGAGTGATACAGTGCTTTGTTCTCTTTTCTGGGTGAATGTAACTTCTTTCTTTTGGCATTATTTGCATCCGTGCTGATATTTTTCCATTAATGGTTTTGAAGTTACATTCCACACAGTATTCACAGTGTAATCTTTATAATCCTCGCCATTTTTCTTTTTCATGTTGTAAGCCCAGTCAGAATATCTACCATCATCCTTTCTTTGATAAAATACATACACTGTCCCCATATATACTGATGGTTCGATGTTATATTTTTAGGTTTACTGTGATCACTTGTTCTTGAATTTAAATTCAAAGAACCATTTCCGAAACGTGACATTACAACGACTTTCAAAATTTGATATTTATGCGTATCAAGATGACAAATCCACATTTTATCAATGGTAACTACAGATACGGACCTATAGGGAAATTTTCGACACCTGCTGGGCAATTAGTAATATAATTCTCCGAACAAAATCGAAAAAACACGTTGCTAAGTGATATTTCAACAAGAATGTTGCATGAATGTTTTTTGTTAAAACAATATTACTTTGCACCGTTTTTTCGATTGTTTTCACAGGAAAAAATTAGACGCCCCAATGGGACAAGGCTATTTCATGACTAGTAGATTATTCTCCATACTAATAGCTTACAAAACGTACTACCTACTGAAATATTTTTTTAAAGTACCTGCAAGTTCATTCGTTTCGCATTACAAGCTTCCCTACTAGACTTGAATATAATATCTTTAAATGGATCAAAAATTATTTTCCAATTCATAAAATACATCTCGTGCATTTTTTTGCAATGTTATTGCTCATTGTCATCACAACTGGCTCTTCGTAATTTTCACCATCTTCTTTCTTCAAATTCCACGTCCAATCTTCCAAGATTAAGTTTAGTTGCTCTCAACTTGTAGTTTCCAAAGCTTGTATTTCTTTGCCTTGCAGAATTCCGTAAAGTGTTTTCATATTGACGAATGATCAATATTAGTCAAATAATCACTTCCAAAGCAACTAATTTTCACTATATAATTACGAATAGTCGAATGATTTGAAATTATTAGGTAATTCTGATCACATTTAGGACCTAATCAGATTTTCGAGAGTGATGGGCCTGTACCAAAAACGTTTGTTTTTCTACATGTCACCTCTATTCATTCAACAGGCTTTGCTTCTCAGAGCTCACCTCCATTATGCCGCCGCGTGTCGACTTCGTACATCCGGAACTGGCCGATATAATCACTCCTTCCTCCAATCTACTTGATGAGGCTTTTCTCAATTCTACTAACCCTAGAGAGTCCAAAAATCAAATTAACAAAGTTTTTTGAGCTCCTCATAGCAGCCGCCGTGCGCTGGTACTTTTATTTAGGCAGTGGCATTAATATAAAAAATGACTCTTATCCTTGGATCTCTTTACATTACCTCAGATCTTCTCTCATTGGAATATAACTCCCTCCCTCGGGGGTACTTCAATAGAGAGCACCCAACTGAATTTGAACCACTGAAAATAATTTCTACTATACATATAATTTTTACACCTGACCCTAGAGGATTTCAAATAAAAGTTATCACTGCCGTACAGAAAAACCTGCAGGTCCTAGTTTTACCAATTTAGGTAGCTGGGGACGTTAGCTTTTAGCACAGCCGACGTCAACTACGAGCCGTGATGAAAGAAATGCAACACCGCGCTCGGACGTCATGGTAGTGCTACCTGTGAACGTCGGCCGCCAGCGGCTGTGTGCTCCGTTTCCATGTAACGTTCAAGAACTAAATTTAATTTTGGAAAAGAGGACAGTTCGATTCGATACAAATCGTCTGAATATGAAATAGCTCTAAAAAATTTAAAAATACGAAATAATCGTCATATATATGAGTCGCTAATGCAGTTAACCTAATTAAAAGTATTTAGTTTACGTTTTTTGGTGTCAGCACACTGTGTTCCAACAGGCCCAGCTTGGAAATGTGGAGTCACCTGTTTGTTTTTAATACATTTACTTTCAGTTTTACTGTTATTTTTCAATTTTACATAATCATTCAAAATTATGTTTGAAAAAATAGACAAAAGCTTAGATAAAATAACTGCATAATTGCGGCCACAGATGCAAGTTAAAGAAAATTCACTGTATATAAAGTCAGACTGAATGCTGAGCAAGGTTAACTGACACAAAATAAATTTTTGATTATTGCTTTTCAAGAAGAAAATTTCCAATCTACATTAATAATAGATTCAAAAATGGCATACATATGGTAGAATATGATTGGTACATAACTGGTTGGAATTGACAGTCCTCCTCTTTCCAAATGATCAAATAAACATTTGTTGTTAATGAACCTGTTTCTTTAACTATTAGCGATTTGCATATCTCGCAGTTTAGGTTTTTAGAGATAGCGTGTGAAGCATATCCAGATATATAAGTCTTAGTACTATCCTCTATGTCACAATTGGCTAAGTAATTTGTCTCAAATACTTCATTGAATATATCTAAAACTTCAGGATTTTGTTTGGTATCCAAGAAATCAAAATTTTCTTGAGTTTCTAAGCAGTTTTGGAACCTTGTTTTAATTTCTGCTAAAGAAAATGACGATTCCTTTTCATTGAAAATATGCTTCAGCATTTAAAATTTCATCATATGACACATTGTAATTGCAGCCACATAAAAGTCTATAATTGCCAAATCGTTTTTCTAAATTATCAGTGGTGAATTTTCCAGGCAATACATACTCAATGTCAAATTGATTAAATGAATATTCAATTATATTAAGTAGAGTCAGCGTGCTTTGTTATAGAGCTGTATACGTTTCTGGTGTCAGGTGTCCATTACTATTCTCTAGATTATGCCATTTTTCTAACCATATCAGGAATTTTTTTAAAAATTGTACTCTATAATCATATTTATTGGTAATAGGCTTACAAAATTCGTTTCGCTTCAATTCTCCTTTTATTACACTTGTATTACTGACAATATCCCACCAATTCCTGATTATTTCCAAAAAGTGTGCAGCATCATTAAACTCTAATTCTTTCATAGCAGCTATTGTTGAGTGATGGAATAAATTATCTACAAAATTTACATTTTGCCTTTCAAATGAATTTGAATCCAATGTTTTATAATTTAATTTATATGCTTTCTTAACTACAGCTTCTTTTTCCAATTGATATACAGCACGAATGTTTTCAAATTTAGCATACTGAATAATATCATTATTGTCAAAATTAGGATATACAAAAGTTTTGTCTAGGTTTTTTAAATTAATCCAATTATTTCTGATACTCTTGAAAATATGCACAACATCATAAGTTAAATATATGTTCTTATCAGGATTATGTAGATTTGGAATAGAATAATTTTCTGATGAATCCTTTGCTAATTTCCTGAACATTGTTCTATTAATTCGGTGATTATCAGTAGCAACACAAATAACATCAAATCCACATTTTTGAACTAAATTTATCACATGTTCAACCAAAGGTGTCATTTCATCACCTGTTAGATTTGAAACTGGTAGTAATTTGATAATTTCTGTCATGTTTCCAAATGCTGAAGATAGCATGAAGGCTAAAACAGTTTTAGCCATGTCATTTTTATTTGAGGCATACCCAACAATGTTTTGTGAGCGATAGTCCAGCCTAGATGTTATATAAATTTCATTGATCATCAAAGTTACAATTTTTTCTCTTGGAGCTAATTTGATTGCTATATTCGAAAGGTAGTGTTCATTATTCCTATCATTTTTTGGAGATATATCCATACTTGAGGAGATATGTTGTAAGTATCGCTTACTTGGCAAAATAAAAAATCTTTTAATTAAATTATATGTTGATGATGAGTGGTTATAAAACGTAAAAGCCATTATTATTGAAAGTGATGCATATCTGTTTTTCCTGTTTTGAATTTGCCTCAGCTGATCAGCAATAATCTCTAGATTTTTTGTATATGGAAACATAACTGAGTCATTATTAATTATGGAAATCGCTGTGTCAAGTTGTTCCAATGCATTCATGATGCAAACTTCAACAGAGTTTTTGTGTTGGTTCTCAGAAAAATAGAAAAAATACCTATTTAGCAGATTTTCTAATTGGGACCATCTGGTAATTTTGAGATCATATGGCAAAACCCACTTCAAGTCACTAAAAGAAAGCTTACATCCTTTATGAACAACCTGAATTTCCATCTGACCATCAACTATAATCTGTGTATTCAAAGTTAAGATATCATTTTCAAAATCCAATTTATAAAAATATAGCTTTCCATCAGATAATTTATTATTCCATTTCTGTGAGGCTTTAATTTTTGAAAATGAAGAATGTAATTCTTGAAAGTCTTTGATCTTATCCATATCATCGAAATTCTGGATAGCTTTTTCATGTTTCTCAATTAATTTTTGTTTTCTTTGCATTGGGTCAGTTCTTTTGGGTGCTTCAGTTTTTGAAAGATTTGATGGCAAGTTTGGGAAAATGGAGGGAACAGCATTTCCTTTCAATTTTGGATATTTCAAAGGTATATTATTTTGGACTGTTCCATCCGCCAAAACTATATTTTCTGTCCTGATGATATCCGATTCTTCTAAATGACGACTGCACACAGCTGAATATTTTGAAGGTGTCCAATTTTTTCTGGGAATTGCCATAAGCCATTTGTTTTTCAGACTTTCGGTACTTGGGAAGCGAAAAGCTGAAACATAGCTTTCTGTTTTCAAAGCAGAATTATATTGCATAAAGGAACACAGCAACAACGAGGCATATTGTCTGCGTCAAATACTTGATAAATGAAAAAAGAAAAATACAACCTGAATTTGCACGTTTTGAATAGTTGAAATCCTTAGCGTCCTGAGGCGCGAACAGCCACAGTCACACTTCTTAGTCTATTTTTAAAGCACAGAAGCACTACAACTGGAGTCTATTTCTTACATATTATAGTCGCCGATCACTTTGAACACATACGCACACTTTGAAGCTTAGAAAACAAGCTTATCTCTTAACTACAGCCTCTGGGATTCCCAAATCACAAATTGAAAAGGTTATGTTTTCTCAGCGTTTTGAGCACGAGTTGCGTTGATGCAGCAAGCAGCGGCGGGAGTAACACTACCACCTACGTTGCCAGATTTCTTTGTTCACGGCTCGTAGTTGACGTCGGCTGTGCTTTTAGGCAATCATATGACAATCGCATTCGTATCATGGTAAGTAATATTTTAGAAGTACCTTGCAAGACAATTTCGTTATTCACAAAGTAATTTTGTTTCGTTTGCTTGCTTGTGCTTGAAATTAAGAAGCGGTTATGCTAGGACATGCAGCTGAATATTTTTAATCGCTCCTTGAATGCAAACAGCAGCAGTTCCAGTTTAAAAGAGGCTATTACGGAGCAATTACAACTTTTTAATAGGAACGAGTTATTTGCCGGAACGGCGCTTCTTGGAATTTTCTATAGATTCTAAAGGAAGTCCTGGATAAGCATTGTTCGCAGAGACTTTCTGGAATGATACTATTCATAAAACAGTTCGTGGACCGTCTTTAACTCTGATGTTCGCTTTGTTGTAATCGAAAGTTACCTGTATTGAGCGATATTGAAGTAAGCAAGGGATGAAAATAAGTTGAAGTGTGAATAAATTGGATATGAATCGGTATTCTCGTTCTTTAAGCTCAATCCGCCCGACACATCTTTGCAACGGTGCTCTTTTCAATGTTACCAACATACCCACCATCATTTTGCTCTCCAAACTATAGCTGCTGTGATAAGGCTCTTTTGGCTTCACTTTAGCTTTCCTTCAAGCCTAAAGTACATTTTTTATTCTGAGACACCCTGTATCTTTTTGCTCCAGCTTCAATACTCCAGAGATTTTATCTAGCACCGAATCGAAGCCAAAGTTTTTATTCGAGCCACGTACCAGCTTTTGTTGAGTACAGGAAACGTAATAAACTAGAAGGCAGACGATAATAGCACCCCAAAATGTAGATGCAGAGCAGATAGCAGTCGACATCCTGGAGAAGCTGGTCTCATGTGGCTTCCGAAGGAGGAAATACGTGTTTTTTACGAAGGTTCGAAATTGGCAACTGAGCTCTGCGTACGAAGTCTATGTCGGAAGACAAAGCTTGTAAAACATTTGGCATTACTTTAGCTTTAGAGGGGAAACGACTGAGAAAAGTGCTACCCAAAAATCTGACTAGGCACGCTACAGAACTTAGCGAAGTACATATCACTTTCCTCCATGTCGTTATCCTAGACCTCGGAAGCTACAGCTTCGATTTTGATAAGATGGTGAGACAGCGTTGTTCTACGCCTTCAGTATTTAAAAAAAAAAATGATAAAAAATTAGAGGGTGTTACAGTTTCTTTTATGGTCGACTAAACATTAACTACATCTGGATAAAGTAAATTATTCCAACGTTTTTCTTATTTAGTTTAATAATTTTATAGGAGTTCTTAAAAATACCGAATCTAATTTTTGTAACAAAATACTTTATTGGTCTAATAATTTTATGGTAGAAAATCATACTATACTCTTTTTTTCGATAAGGGTCATCTTTCGTGTAGAGGTTCAACGGTCCACTACCGATTTTGTGAAATAGTTCACACGCAGTGCTGCGGTTTATCGGGTGGTGAGATTTTAATAGGAATCGGCCTTCATTGATGAGTTTGTTTGTTGAAGCCCCTTTTCTCACCCTCTTGGGGACTTTGACGTATTATTATTATTGTTATCATTTCTGTGAACCCTCATTGTTCGAGGGTTCTACCTTCGGGTATAGAGTTGCATCTGGAACTTCTTGCCCTCGGTTGCCTTTCGGTGATAGCCAAGCACCTGCCAATTCAGTTTTTAATGAACCATTTACCAAGCTATAACTTCATTAAGGAGGGATAACAAGGGGTTGAAAAGTGGAGGCTGAAAAGGAAGCAGGTTATAATTGGTGCACATTTGGTAACAGTGGAAGATCTTATATTAAGACGCTCCATCAGGAAATGAGTATACAGTGTTTTTCATTGAGGTTACCAAAATTCGGGGTGATGAGGTTCATGCAGAAAAATATTTTGTCGTGAAAATGGTTCAAGATGGTGGCTGGGATCTATCGTGGAAAATTTTTCAAATAAAATCATGGAATAACTTGCATAGAAGCTCCTGGTGGGTACTTTATAAGCCCCGATTATAAATACACGATCTTGAAAAATGGCAGGCGCATATTTTAAATTTTGAACGTTTTTGTACATTGAATCATTTATAAATCAACAATAAATCCTCAAAGCGCTACAATAAGTTATAAAAATTTTTGTAGCTATCATTTCGGTTTATTAGTTTTCTTGCCATCCAAATTTGTTATTGTTAAATAGCAATGCTACTCAGATATTATCCAAAGCAACTTGATTATTATGTTATAACAATGTTTTATCATCATGGTACAAATAATGCTTTGGAACTTTTAATAACAAATATCTCGAAAACTATGAGCTTTAGACACTTTTGTCGTCGAAATGCGAGATAATAAGATTTTTCGGTCAGTTGTTGTATACAGGGTAGCACAGAAAAGTTATGATAAGTAATTTACCGAAACAGCTTGTAAGTGGCGCCCTCTAGAAATTTGGCCATAAAAAATAACGGATTCTTGTTTCACATACTAAAAAACCTCCCTGTACAGACTTTTATGCCAAAATCTGAAATACTTCTCAAGCAATAAGGAAAAATAGAAAACAAGCTTGTAACTTTGACACCATGTATCTCGAAAACTATCAACCTTTGGGCTGACTTATGTTTAGGTCAATTCACATGTTTTGGTCTGTAGTGTCTCCAGTTTCGAGATTTCACAACCTTTCGCACCCTGTATAAGCGAATGGACAACAACAGCAAAATACAGTAATTTTAGGTGAAGCTTATGTTAGAAAAGTGTGAAGTTATAAATCTTTGAACTTGTCACAGAAAAATTTGTCGAAGAAGTAGAAGGCTTTATACATAAAAGGTAGTTTTAATCTCACTCTTGTACTATGCTTCATACCTTGAGCTTTGAGCGGGTAACATATTCTAAAACTGTGTACACCGATAGTTTACTCCATTTCTTGATTTGTCTAGTCTTAAGTGATTAGGATTTTTTCAAAAGAACTGTATTTTGCATACTGCCAGATGCAATCTGGATGCAAAATGGGACAGTTGGACAGCATAACAGAGATATGATTATTATTTGACAGTAAATTTGGTTGACACCTGCATGCAACTGCTGTGCCATATATAAACAGTTTTCGATTGACCAATTAATTTTTGATCGGCGGCGTATTTGTCCATGCCGGTGTACCTTTATCCGAAATAGCATCAGTTGTTGTGTTAAGGGCTCAACTTGGTGCAGATTGGCAAATCTACATAATTTATCAGCGGTGGTGCTGGGAATCCAGTTTGAGTTATATTAGATTGCCGTTAGTTGCTGCAGATAAATTAATGCGGACTGGCCTGATAGTTAAACATAGATGTATTTGATGGACTAACCATAAACGTTTTCGTCTAGTTGGCTATGATATTTCTAATCTTAATTGGAACTAGTCGGCTTCTTCTGATATATCTGTCACACGAGAAGCAGACAAATATACGAGTTATGTAAGAAGGGCCCCTAATCCCTATATAAAATCAAGAAATTCTTTATGAATCACTTGGCTTAGCTACAAAAACATAACAATGACCAATTAGAAAACGCTTAAGTAAAACTGTATTTATATTGCTAATCGGAAACAAGTATCATAAACCCACCTTGTAGATGATAGAAGCAGATGCAAAACAATCATGAATACCTGGGGAAATTGGAAAAACAATATATCGGTTGTTAATTAGGTAATTTCAACAAACTTCTTAGTTGCTCAGGCAGCAGCGGTGGCCGCAGTAGTAGAATATTCAGTCTCCTGACCAGTCGCCGTTCGCTGTGCGGGTTCGAATCCCGTCCCAGGAACATTTTTTCTCTTGGCTATGGATGCTGCGATTGTCCGTAGGTGGTATACGGTCTCTGACTGTCGAACGCGGAGGTACTACCCGGCGGATCTCGTAGGTGGAGCCAGAATGTGTGCATGTTGCATGCACACCTGTTCCCTCGCCAGAGTCCGTGTGGCGTACCCCTTTTTCCTTATAGCCCCACGGTACCGGGGGTATGGGTGTTTAGGCCTTAGGCCTTCGTGGTAGTTGGAGTATAAAAAAAAGTTGTCTTCCATCATCACATATTTTTGCTGCTGTACCTAATCGGTATGTCGTCCTTCAAGGTAAATAGAGATGTTTTTGGGTTACAATTATCTTAAGTAACATGTTTAGCTGGTTTAGATGATATATACTTTATGAAGTTTTAGAAAAAATTGTAGAAACCAGATCAGAAATTATACAACAAAAAGGATGGCCTGTAATAACATAAAGTCTGTAAAAAACAACTCTGTAACCAAATTTTCCAAATAAGGCGCCAAGTATTTCTCGCCAAGCAGCACGCAGCAGCGAGATGTCATTTTTCGTACTTCGTGAGATCGACAGTTAAGTAACTATCGAACTTGACTAACTTACAACAAACGCACTTCTTTCATGCTTGTAACTAAGATAGCAAGTTCTGGTGTGAATACTGTGTTTATGCATTGATTAACATATTGCTCATAGCGTTGAATCGCCCTAACGCTTGCAAATATTTGCGAACGTATCCTCGCAGCCCCATCTCTAGTATTTATTTTCCCCTACTCTTGACAGTTGATGTATTTGTAGTGCTGCCAGGCAACAGTCAAAATAAATAACATGTATTAACATACAAATGTTTGTTATTTTAACACATAGAAGTTGAACTTACTAACATTTATTTTCCAAGTCAACTAAAAGACTTTTCGTTGAAGAATTTGATGTGGTAGCACCGGTCAATTCTGTGACTGGACAGCTGAGCTGATAAAAGGCAGTCATGGTTTCAAGGATAATAAAGATTTTCTTGTATTCTTTCTTTTCCCAAGAAACGCACATACGTTGTATACATACTGGAATGCTTTTATCAAAGATATGATTGCCAATACTTTGCATATATGTATATCGCGCACACACAGAGGATGTGCGTGCCAAACAGTGAGTCACACGTCTACAAAGTACAACATTAGATGGCAATTTAATCGACAATGGTGCATTTTTAAAAATATATACTTCTAAAACTATCTCTCTCATATAAGTGATACTGTGTACTTTTCAATAAAGTGCTTAGTAACGGATGTCATATCAATGTAGGTCCCAACTAACAAATATCACTCCTATTAGAGTTGCAAGAATGATTATACAGTATTCCTTAAACAGCATTGTATGCTGTAAGAACATTGGCAAAACCCTCTTAGAACAGCTATACAAGCGGAATGGGCACACCTAGTAGGACACTTCAGTCATTTAAAAGGTTGTATAAGGGCTGCAGGTAACAGTTATAAAACAAAAGTGTAAGCCTCTTGCAGCCGCTATAGGACATTTACGTCAGTGGAAGATTCAGTTTTTGTCAACTATACAACTATTCTGTTACGTGATTCTACTTTATTGCAACCAAACTATCTCTTATGTATTGTATAGACGAAGTGAAGAATATATAACTAACACATTACAGTCATCTTGTTTACTTACATATCGGCCATTGTGAATTTCATACACAGGTATATGATAAACTTCTACACTTTGATATAGGGCTATTGAATTACTTGCTCAGAAAATTTTATTGTGCTTATCGTGCAAATTAGTTACCCAATTTCTACGGGCTTCGTATTTGATTCATATTTTCACAACGATCAAAAGTATGTCTAGATTTTTAAGATGGAAAACTAAACTTATCTGCGTTAAATCTTCCACAAATCCTATATTTAGACACAATTACACTAATATTTATCACTTTATATCTGTAATTTCGAACTGAAACATAATTATTTAATATTAAATAGAAAAATAAATGTTTGCCCAATATGGCTGGTGGTTGTGTACAATCATGGCATCGTCCATGTTGTCTTTGGGTTATTAGAATATTTTGGTGTTGCCTGCAGGTGTTGTACAACAATTTGACAAATGTCTGAAATGAAATACCGACAGAGTCGAATGATTTACCCAGAATTCGTACCAGATCTATATCTTCTGTTTGAACAGTTGATAAAACCTTTTGAACCAATATGCATGCGTTGTTTGTCTTAAAATATTGGTTATGGCATTTTAACAAAAATATGACAGCAGAAAGTTAGGTTATGATGAAGTTGTTTACCAACACATTTAGCTTAATATGTACACCCTTTAACAGTTACTAAACAACAGTTGTATAAGCGCTTCCGTTGGGAGCAATATGTTGGCTAAGGTAGTAAATTGCGCAGCAAAACAACGAGGCTCGGGTTTGTTTTATAAACGTTACCATGGATGCCACAACACAAACATTTTGACTAACTTGCAAATATGCCCTATAAAATAGTTGTATAAACGTTTATGCAACAGTTAAAAATTTGCCCTATAAGGTATTGTATAACTATGCTAAAAGAATATTTTAAACACCTCATTTTAGAGCAAATATGTTGCAGAAAGCAAATTTGCATTACACACAACATTAAGCCAGCATTTTGGAGTTCAAGCAACAACAATAGAGAGCTTTTATGGCTGAACGATTCTTTTACCAAAAGCTTATACCACTACTTTGCTAGTTGGGGTATTATATCAGATTTGGTCCACGATTCAGGCAGGTCTTAAGCGCTCCTCTCCGATTGGCCAACTTTCGATGCAGTTTTACCAAAAAGCTTTCTAATTGGTTACTGTTGATCCGGATCATATGTTTTGATCTCCCAATCAACTAAAAACATACGTTTCTGTAGCTAGACCAGGTGATTCATAAATAATTTCTTGACTTATTATGGGGATTGGAGGACGCTCTTGCACAAGTTAGATTACTAGAAAGATGCCTTCTCATTGGTGCTTTATGATCCAGATCAAGAATTTTGATCTATCGTTAGTAAAATCGGGCCTAAGTCGTACCTCGTATGCTTTCTATAAAAACGCTACAGTGGACTAACTGCATCTCGACCATGACTGTGTTTATTACGTAAAACAACGAAAACGTGTACTTTGTTAGTTTACCACGTTTAGACGTTTCATCATGATGTATCATTTTTTGAAAAAATAAACCATAGCGCAAATCACAATTAGGATAAGGGAACGCAAATGACCCGTTGGGCTTTTACACAAACTGTGTGCATCATTTGTCTTCCAAAGTACCCCATCGGTCCGTTTACCTTGTAAAATAACAACTGAAGAATTTTAAGGTGCTAGTCGTAAAATGTAATCTCAGAGCCATGAAAATTAGGTTAAAAGGGTCGTTACATCCGCGAATAGCAACAAAAGCATCATTTCTACATAATTAAAATGCGGCTCAGCGATTTTGATCTGAGGAGTGTACGAAAATAAGGCTGGAAGACAATACAGATTCGGAAAAATGCTACACTTTCAGTATTTATTGTTATCCGTCAGTTATTCATCATGGTACTGAACTTGCAGCATCGTGTGTCAGTTACGTAGAAGTTAATTGACAATGACGGACATTAGTATTTATGGATGACAGTTCAATACTGATCGTGTAGCATTCGCCATATGGAACAACTTTTTTTAATGATCAGAGAAGAACTAATCTTAACGCAATATCCTGCTTTTCTGTCGCTTATACGGAGTGTTACTCGATCATAGATCAAATTATAAGTGCATATTCCTGCGCAATATTTAAGTAGATACGTCCATACAAAGGTGTGTCCTAAAAAGTCTGGTATTTAATATTAGTTTAAAAAATATAAATTTTATACAAGAAAAATAGTAAGAAACTGTCACGGAAAGTCGAAAACATGTTTTAACAACAGGAAAATGCTGCCTAGCGACGATGAACCTTGATTTGATTTGCTTTTTATATTTTTTTCACATGTAATAATATTTTTATTGTGTTTCTCAGAAACCAAGTACGATACAAAGAGGTAAAAAAAATGTATGATTAGCTGTTTACTTTCACTTCTAGTGTGTTGGAAATCCGACTATTTAGAACACAACTTTTCTACCTGTATTTGGTACTGGAATGCGCCCTTACAGTTATGGCCTATCACTAAGTAAAATATCTTGTATATTAACAGGAATGACCAACTACGAAATTTTAGGAAAACCTGATCCTTTAGCTGAAAGAATTTCCTTTATTTGAAATCGATAAAACTGGTTACGTTTGCTTGAATACTGATCTGATAGATCTGCAGAAAGCTCGACAAATGTCTAAAACTTGTGATCCAAGAGTGAATACTTGGAAGTTTTTCGGGTCTCTGACTACGAACCCGATCTCGGAATAACTAGATTGATTCTGAAATAAACTGTACTCAGTCACGGCATTGTTCTTATTCTTATTATATCAAATAATAGTAATTCAACATGTAAAAACTTTCAATATTGAGTTAGCGTTATCGATAGAGGCGCTGGCAACGCTTTGTTTACATTTCAACATGGTGGGCGTTAATAACAAAGTTTTTCGAACTGAAAATCCTTAATTCGTCACCAAATGGGGAAACATGAGGGACTAAAATTTCGGAATTTGTTTCACAAGCTAGTACTTCATTCTTGAGTGTTAGCTAAACTAGTGTGTTTGTTGATTGCATATCAGTCTATGTATGTAAAACTCATATCTTAATTTTTATTTAATTTTAAATGAAGGAGACTAGAGTGAACACGCGAAGTATAATTTAATTTATGATATCTGATATGTTCAACAATTTTATTTGTGACGCGTTGTGCAATTAGAGATTGTCTTAATGTAATTATTTTAATTTAATTTCATTTGACGATATGATCAATCGGGGATGAAGCGTTGACGATTTAACATTGTCAAATTTAGTTGGCCATTTCATGAAATTCTCGATCATTTCATGAAATGGTTAATTCTGCGATATGGCCGCGACAGTCGTTTACTGCAGTTTGCACCTTACCGCCTACGTAATCTAGCATAAGTCCAAATGTCAGCTGACATTTTCACTAAAAAGGGTACACAATGTCCCACATTTTCATGACAGATCATTGCATGAATAAAAAGGCGGATGTTAAGCAGCTCAGTGTCATTTATTCCTACCTGTTGAATTGCGAAAAGCTAGAACGGCTACATGTCCAAATTGATCCAACACCTTCACAAAATTAGAATACATTTTCTCACTCACATTTTTAATATTAACTCACATAACCCATCTTTTCGAAGTTCTATCAATATCACACATTCTTGCACTCATATGATTCACACACTTTTTTCCAAAACAAGTTATTTTAGCATTTTGATAATTTTGGGTGGAGATTTACCGAGCGCCCCTCGTATACTTCATACCCAAAGTTGGACAGGAAGGTGTACATTTCCTCGATCCGTCGCGTCAATCACTTGTCATCTGTCGATGCTTTACCTTTCCGTGCCTTCCCCCTCTCCACGTGTAGCGGTAGTAGAACGTTAGGGACTGCATTCCGATTGTTTCAACAAAATCTCTCCCCACGCGTAGTATTTTTAACTTGTTCGGGTGTATTGATATAATTTTTATTTTTTCTTAACTTTTAACGAAGGTATCTGTCGTTTTTCAACAAGCCCAATGTCCCCGTCCTTTTGTTTTTATACTGATCACAAGTTCGATCTTCACTACGTTCTTTCTGAAACACCTTGTGGCTGCAACCTCATCGACGAGTAAGTTGTCTGACATTTTGAATCTGTTCTGTTTTCTTTGCTAGCATCACAATTGTGTTTTCAGAATCGTGATGATGGCTCCATAGAGAATGCCGAAAGCTTGATTTTATCGTCAAAAGGGTCAACTTAAGCCTAAAAGTTTTGCCAATTTCCCAACTAACAAGTAACTGTATTTTGTACCCAACTAGTCGTTGGCTTTGGCAATGACTACTGCTCATATATATATATATATATATAAGGTCACGATCCAACCTACACATTGTAGTATAAAATGGCTAGAAGACCTCGAAGCTTCAAGGCGACATCCGCAAAAAATCTTTTGCGGATTTTGCCCATTATTTTCCTATTTTTTGTTATATACCCTTCGCATGATCATTTTCTCTTTGTAGATCCTTTGGGCTTGGAGCAGCACATGTCTCCTTGAAAATTCGTGGTCTTCTAGCCATTTTATACTACAATGTGTAAGTTGGCTCTTGTTGTGGACTTCGTGTGTCGATTTTTCCCTCTCCATCTTCGTTTCCTCAGGTTACACCCGTATTCGGATGTGTGGACATGTGTATCTACTTTTGTAGTTGCATATGTACATTCAGTTCGGGCCTGATGAAGCCAACCAGCAGAAATACGTGTCGCTCGGGTTACCTATCCTATTTTCTGCTCGAATCCACTTTCATTTTGCGGATTCTGCCCATTATTTTCCTACTTTTTGTTATATATATATATATATATATATATATATCTGTGCTTGGTTGTTTTGATCAAAGATCGTCAACAATAGAAATACATTCCCCGCTACGTCATATTGCCTAAGGAAGAACATCCACAAGCTGCACGTACCGTTCTACGAATAACGTCCTTCATAACAGTATAAAAACCTTCCTTTTGAACCACTGTTTCGTATGAAAGCTGCCCAGATAACTCTTTCGCGACTGCAACCAGCAGGTACATGCAAGCGAGATAACAAACAATAGGATTACGCATAGAAAATAGAAAGCGGTACAAAAGGTGGCCTTGTATTATATTCCGCTATGAAACACCTTTGCTCGTCCATTAGGACTATTTGCAGCTCAGCTACAAGCCTCTTTGTTTAGTTATCTTTTTCAGTTCCTATTTTTAAGGCTCGCTCGTGAATTGTATTTGCAGACGACTTTTAGGATTTTAGTTTTTTCTAGAATGGCAGCTTCCAAGCTTCATCAACAGTAAGTGGATAAATTTACTCTGATAACTACACCGGGGTTACACCGTAGGAGAAATTTATCAACTGTATTTTTTTCGAAATAAGGCAACGCAACACGCTATGTACCTCTATCTATATCTATTTTATTTCAGTAGACCTCCGGGATAGAGGACGGTTGCGATATCTTTGTTCGTTTGTCCAGAGACGAGAGACCAAGTCTAAACCATGCAGATGAGTAGCCAAGGAGCATGAAACCATGGTTGGCTGTTTGGTCGGTCAGATGAAAATATCTTGTTTGGATTTTTTCCATAATCACGTTTGTTGGGTGCTCTTCAATATGAAGCAAGAGGCTGCCGGGCACTAAACCGGTAAAAATTTGTTTCAACAGTTCTTTTCAAAATTGTAAAATTCCGCAGCAAACAAACTTTTTTTTTAAATTTTCCGGATCATTATGAACAAAAAATGTCCTAGTACCTTTACTGTCAGGTATAAGAGTTATATAATTAGAGAGCTCACAGAAATAAAAGAATCGTTATACAGGGTGTTTCACAACTTATCCGACAAATTTTAACCAGATGTGCACTGTTACGAAAGAGTTTGATTTCTCAAAAAAAAAGTAATAAAGTCCTAGAAAAATAAAGTTATAAACCTGTTTCAATAATAAATTGAAAAATAAATATCTGTATTTTCCGTTCATCGTCGTGATATTACAACCCGCATTACTAATGTAAGATAAAGAATGCACACGTCGTATGGTAAAAAAATAACAGACTTTATTGCAGGAACGAAGAGTGGTTACAAGTATTGAACAAAATCTGTCTGTGCCTCGATATAATTCTAATCTTTATAGGAAAAATAACAGAGCTGTATCGAAAAAAAAGAAGTAAAAAGCAAATGTTTCTTAATGGGCTTGCTTGCCATACAATTCAATTTGTTGGAATAATGGGCTTGTACCACATAGTTATGTTACCAACAGGATTCCATAACTCCTCCCTCATACGAAAAGTTGGTCTCCAACTTAGAGAAAATTTAATTTACAGTTACAATATGGTTCCAAAGCTGTAAGAGTCGTAAGAAAGGTTTTGCAACGTAGTATGAACTATTATTTCCAAATGATTTTGGTAATAAGAAGGATTTAAAAAGCTTAAATTACTTTCAAGTAAAGGCAATGATAATTCAATCTGCTTGCAGTCTTTAATATCAGTTGAAATATTAGTATTAATAGTATTTTAAGTGAATATGACGACAATTTTCAACATAAATGGCTTACATGTGCCTGTTTAGTAATTAAAACATAAATGCCGTATTGTTACTTAGTTTGATTAAATTGGAGCAAAATCTTTCATTCTTCAAATTACAAAGTAAAATTGCTTGGGATCTTTATTAATTCATTCCTTATAATTAACGGATACAAATCATTTCGGGTGTGTAATCGTTAGAATTTAGATATTTAATAGGTAGAACGATAATTTGTCCATCTTTGATAGGGGATTTTAGAACTTGATTTTGATTACAGTGTTCGGGACTCTACGTGGTATTTTGTCAGTGTGGCAAATAAAGTTTAAACGATCAATGGATAGCAAATTCTTAAGTGTTTGTGAAGTAGCTTGAAATTTTTGTAGATCATAATATCCTAGCAAACAGTCAAAACGTTCGTGCCAGTCTAACATGAGAAATTCAACTTCAGTGTTAATGCCATGTTCATTGAACAAAGGAATTCGCAAAGCGTATTCACCGTGTTTAGTACCAATAACAGATTTTATTGAAAAGTGTTTTGGATAAATGTAATCTTGAAAATAATTGAAAGCAATTTGAGTGTTGATCAAAGAGACAGATGCACCAGTGTCTATAAGAACTAGCAAATCTAAATTTTGTAAATAAATGTATGGCAAATGTGTGTTCTCATAATTATTGAGATCTAAGTCAATGGGTTTTGAATTGAGGCGGTTCGTAATAGTTGATGTAGACATGGGTGTCGGTTTAAAGTTTTTTGGTGGACCTTGTCTATTTTGTGGATAGAAATTAGGCTGTCGTGGTTGAATTTGTCTTTGAAATTAATTATTCAAATAATTTGGTCTGATGTTAATCGGGCCAGTTGGGAAGTTAGATCGTTGTGGCTGTTGGTAAAATTGCGGATTGTAAAATTGTTGGTTTAAAGGAAATCGCCACATAGGTGTGTTTTGAACGGTATTTGTAGGTTTCGGTTTTTGAATGGCGTTAGTATTTTTGGCATTTGGTTTAGTAAATACTTTGCATTGCGATTGTATTTTAAATTATCGTATTTTCGACAAATTTGTAAGGCAGCTTGAAGAGTTGTAGGTGTTGCGTTAAATAGGAGTAATTTATATGGTTCTTTAATACCAGTTACAAATTAATTTAAAGCAGCTTCTGTGTAAAGGTCGACTCTAGATTGAGCAACTACATCAGAAAATTCCAAAAGAACATATTCTCTAATAATATGTAATTTTTGCAAAATTTCAGTATGAAATTCATATAGTCTGTGTACTGGGATAAATTTCTAAGTTCATCAAGTAGCATTAATTCGGATTTTGAATCTTTGTAACGTTCTTTGAGAATTTCTTCAAATTCTTGCCAAGTTTGAGGATTATTTCGTTCAACGATAACAGAAGGTTCTCCTTGTAGTTTGGATTTTACGTACGATAAAGCATGAATTTGATATGGGCCATGCAAAGCGGCAACAAATTCTCTAGATTTACGCAAATATACAGATAAATTATTTGATGTTTCAGAAAAGATAGGCACACTATCTTTCAATAGGTTAAATAACATTTGTGGATTGTCAGCCATGGTTGTTCTGAATTCCTCTCTAACGTTAGCTTGGTTTTTTACTGGTTGTCTTCTAATGGGTGATCGTTCTCGTACTGGAGATTTACCAAAAGTTTCTTTGACTAAATAGATAAAATGGATTTGGCTTACTCTAGCGTTATGTGAAAAATCAAATTTTTCATAACGGAGACTGCTCTGGTTCTTGTAGCTCTCTGTTTCTCTAGGCTCGTTCTGCAGGGACTTCGGACGTGGCTCTCAGGTTCTCAGATCGTTTCTCTTACTGAAGTGGATACTTCCTACCTCACAATGGTTGGTCACACAGAAGGGACGTAGTTCAGCTCACCTGATGAATCTCGAAGATTTTACTGATGGTTGGCTGGGCTCGTACAAACTTCCAGATGTTTTCCACGAAGGCGTATAACGATCCTGTTCGCAGCGCCAGATAAAGAATGCACACGTCGTATGGTAAAAAAATAAAAGACTTTATTGCAGGAACGAAGAGTGGTTACAAGTATTGAACAAAATCTGTCTGTGCCTCGATATAATTCTAATCTTTATAGGAAAAATAACAGAGCTGTATCGAAAAAAAAAGAAGTAAATAGCAAATATTTCTTAATGGGCTTGCTTGCCATACAATTCAATTTGTTGGAATAATGGGCTTGTACCACATAGTTATGTTACCAACAGGATTCCATAACTTGTATTGTAGCAAATGTTGTACCGTACAACCCACGAAAACAAAAAACCAGGAACTATTTGTTTTTTCATACTGACAAGAACGTGTAAATAAGGTTTAATCTGTATCGTGGGTGATCTGAATGAAGAACGGTCGATTTTTGTGACTTTAAATAAGAAAGTAGTTTCTGTTTTTATGCATTTATTAATAAAAATTGCACATGTGTACACTAATGAGGAATTAGTGGCCGTTGTTTTAGCGTACGGAGAAGCAGGGCAAAATTCACGAGCGGCTGCTCGTTTAGAAATTCGTAATTTTTTTCATCAGGTATACCAGATACGCTGGATGGGAAGGGGTGGACCAATTGCATGACCTCCATGGTCTCCTGATCTAAATCCTCGTGAATTCTTTTTATGCACTCAGCAGGAAGGAGGTGTATTTGAATTAGTGCGCCGAAATTGGATTAGACGAGCCCAACCTCGCATTGCAGTCAATGGAAACAATCATGAACAGCTTTTATAAGTAAGTCAACTGTTCAACTATATTATTTTATTATCTCGATTTCTGTAGGGCTTTTATTAAATTTTTTTTTATGAAATCACCTTCTTTCCTGGTTAACATTTGTCGGATAAGTTGTGAAACACCCTGTATAATCAGTCGTCATTGAAGGCGTTAGAGTGTTATCTGCACTGTTTAAAGATATTTAAAGTTCATCAAAACTATAGAATTACTACTAACAAGTGGATATTGATAACCAAGGACTTGTCGTGGAATAGTGTGTTTGAACAATTATTAAATGAACATGGACAAGGCATTACCCTCAGCATTATATTGCTCTTGAGTCTACTGTACTGTCATACGATTTGCGGTGACAAAAAACTTTATTGAGTTTTAAGCAACCCACCCGTGAGTCCTTGAAGTCAAAGTTCTGCTTCTTATCCACTGCAAAAGCCCGAGTAAACTAAACCGGAAACTTCCGAGAAACAACAATTTATCAGTGGATATTGTTCGAGTCCTCATAGTTTTCACTTTTTAGCTTTTTACCTCTTAATCGAATCCTACGGAGTTGCTGCGAGCGAGGCGGAAATATAAAAATCCTTGAAGCTTTAATAACGAAAGTTCGTCCGTTAATAGAAGTATTTAAAAGATTGATGTGGAGTCTTCGTTAATTCAGCGGCAAGAGGGAAATGACATTTTTCAATCCAATTAAAGCTGGAAGGATTAGAAAAGCGTTCCAAAAATTGAGAATACCTCAATGGGGTCACTGCAGGTACATGATTTGTGCGATACACAAGTGATCATATGCTACCCTATGATTTATTTTCGAGCACTAGGTACCTTTTAATAAGATCCTGGCTTAGAGAGCAAATTAAGATTTTGGCCGACTGTTGCTTAAGGTTTGGTAATCATTCTCAGAGATAGCGGGTAAACTGAGTGGTAGTAGGACACATAAGTAGCACAGTGTTTCCACACTTTTTGCTTTTTTAGATCGGAAACTCATCTTGGATGCTACACACCTAATTGCTTCAAATTTTAGTAAATGACGAAGACGCTACATCGATATAAATGATACATTAGTAGGTTACAAAATAGAAAACAAGATTTACATTCCAGCATTGCAGACAGATGGGAATAGTTGAGGGCTTTCTTCAATGCGCCCTTCAAAGTTCAACTTGATTTTATGATTGTAGATCGTTTTGGGGATTATTGCTTGGATACAGCTCATGCTTAACAAAATGGACATTGTTGAGATTTTGAGAAAATAACTCGATGAGTATAGATAATGTACATTAAACTTCAGGGAGAAACGTGTATCAGATTTGTGATTTGCGCATCACATTTACCCAATAAGCTGATCCTTATAGGGAGGGCAAATACACGAGGATCTTCGAAAATTCTCCGCAATAGTATCCCTATAAACTTTACGAGCTTTTCAATGTGCAATTTCCATTTTTGTCTAGTGTTGATGGAAAGATAGATATTTATTGAACCAGAGCTTGTACAATGATATGTTTGGTGAGTCGAGGATTTAAAGACAATAAAAAATAAATCATCCATTATACAAACAGAGAAAATTCGTACACAATGCATACACATATAAATGGCAACTACATCAAGCTTGACTTTATACATTGTAACGCAGATATCATATTAATAAAGAATTAAAAACTGGAAAGAATCTAGTTAACGGAAACCTTTCTACAGTACATTTTAAGATCGTCAACATTATACGGCGCTATGTCTATTAAAATTGATTTGATCTTCCTTTTGAAAAGTTCCAACGCTCCAAGTTCATTGTAATGTTAAACTACAAGGCTTTTGGTTACATCAATTTTATTTCCGTGAATATCGGATAGACATCACACAATTACACAAGTTTTTCCACACATGCATTTAATTCTGATATAGAACAACTGCAAATACTGTCATTATTTTAAGGCCTCTGAATATTTCTTCAAAAAAAGTTTCTGTAACTGGGAATGTTTATCGATAATAATATGATTATGCAATTTTCCGTATTGCATATACTACCTCAGCGAGTTTAGTACAAATTTGATCAATATTGGTTGCGATAGACGAACGAATAGTTGGGGACGCTGATAATGAATATGGCAATCAAAAAACTGTACAATGTCGTGAAGCTCTATTTGAAGCAGGAAAAGGAGAATTTGGGACTTCGCGTAAGTCTCGGGGAAAAACAAGACCAAACACATAGGTATTTCCTTTTCGGCGAGTCACAGTCAAGCTGCAGAAATTAAAAAGTAAAGTATATTTACCAAAAATAAGGATACGATGGTAATATGAATATAAAAGCGTATTTAAATCAAAAACAGTAAACGAACCGGAAAGCCACAGAAGCAAACTTGTGTGAGACCTTGTACATTTTACAAAAAACCTAATCTGCCCTGGATTAAATATAGATATAGATATGGCGTATTTTTTCAATTTTCGGCCCGTCACTAATTTTATTAAAATAAGAATCACTCAGGTATTCAGGTTCACACACTTAAAAACAATTCGACTAAAATCGATTCACAATATTGGTCGTAAAATCGGTACGGTGATCCAATATCGGTAATTTGAAAATGTTCGATAGAAACGAGAATATAAATACGGTAAAATCGTCCATAGTCGCTTAATGTAAACATTCTTGACAAAAACTGGCCTTTTCATGTAATGTTATTAAAATTTGGTATCGAGGGAAAGAGAGAAATTAACCGCGGTGACTTTGACTACACCGGCGACCCAGCAACAAACGGTAGTCCCTCTTCTCACCAACGACCGCGCGCGTTACAACAGCAGGGAAGCCGGCGCAGCGCAAGAGGGCGGTGCGGCCACCGTCTTCCCATGTAAAACGGTGTTGTACATAATTATATACATTGTGTGTTGTTAGTGTTATCACATTATCTATCACATTCCGTGGCCGGGCATATTAAGACTACCAAGGGCAGCGAAAGTTACCTACACGAAACGCACATGAAAATTTCAAAATTAAAATTCTCAATTTTTCTTCAAATCAACACCTTTTTTTCACGACAATCAATGCTACAATGTATCCTTCATATCCGGAATCAATTACATTCCATGGCCGGGGAATATTAAGCCTACCAGGGGGAGCGAAAGTTACCTACAATGCTACAAATGAATTCTTCGTACCCGGGATCGATTACATTCCGTGGCCGGCTTATTAAGCTTATCAGGGGGAGCGAGAGTTACCTATACGAAACGCACATGCAAATTTGAAAATAGGGTGTGTATCGTTGTTTGACGGAAGAATCTCTACATTTAGGGCTTCTAGTCAGATCGTTTAAGATTACAGACGATATCACACCACATATATTTTTATTGATATTCCACTATCTTGAAAGACAAATTTTATTAGTTTAGAGATGACTCCCCAGTTCTTCCTGTCCAGACCGCCAGCAATTCTGGAGAAAGATACTTTTTTATATTGTAAAGTGTCGCATACTCGCATACGCGACGCAGCGCGAAAAATAGTCAGATAAATAGGCTTTCCCCAAAAATGTCTTTTTTTGTTACCATGTAGAACAAAAATCTACCCTCACGTTTGAGGACACCGTCTCCTTCCGGAGCTAGATGTTGGGCAGGAAGCTCCTCCAGGCCGTCTTATTTTTCCCTGAAGTTGTGAGCCTTACCATCTGAAAATTTCCAATGTTGTTGAACTATACTGTACCTAAATTTTGTTACGATGCCTTGTGACATCTTCAGATCTTGAGAAACACAATGTCCCAATGAGTAATTTAGTGGAGCAGTGAACAAATCTGTTCCAACTTCCTCGTAATCGCAGTAGTGGGTGACTCCTGTATTATATTCTGCCCACCACATCTTCCTCTCCCCATCGCTGCACTTCTGGGGTCTGTATCTTTGACCGGCAGAGCTGGATGTGTATCGCTTATTTTGCCGGTATTTTAAAGGTACACACCTTGAGTGTTGTGATGCTCTATTGGCTTGATTCTTTTATATTAACAATCAGGGTTTATTACAGACATTTCACGTGTTTATTATACAACAATAACTTTATCGAAGTATCATGGAGAAGCTGTCAACTTGACTGCAACGCTGCATGAGACCGCACGCGACGGTTGATGCATCTGCAATCGAAGCATATTATGGGTACTGACCATTAGAGCATTTATTTTAGAAGCAGGTATCAATATACGTTGACTTTATTATGAGTAGAGTTGTATTAATCAAGGTTAAAATTGTTAAAAGTGTAAATCACAATATATCGTACATGTTTACCGCAATAAAATGGCCTCCTCCATATCCCCACTTAGCCATTCCGTAACTTCCTGGACCCCATATGAGTTGACCAGTTTATGAGTGGAGTGATGTTAATCATGGTTAAAATCGTTAAAAGTGTGAATGACAATACGACGTACAAGTTAATCGCAACAAGATGGATTCCTCCATATCCCCATTTAGCCATACCCTGACCTCCTGAACGCACACGACGTTATATTCTACACTTCTTTGTTTTTATTTATTACATTACTTTCGATTGACAAATTTTGGTCCTCTTCGCAAACGTTACATACATAGTGCTCGTTATCGGAAGGAAATACAAAGGATGGCTTTCGTTGAGCGGTACATTTTACGTGCAGGATTCGTTGACAATACAGAGACCTGTCTTTCATGTTATCCGACGGTCAAGTAAAATGGTTGCGAATTTATCAAGCAATCTGCAAAGTAGATTACGAAAACCCCGCATTTATAGCTATCTGTTTGTCTTGGAACTGATTCACAATCTAATACTTTAAGATCTATGGGAACATTATCAAAAGGAAATTTAGAATTATATTTTTCCAGAAAGTTTCAAAGTTTGTTGCATATAGTTTTATCGCATCTACCTCAAGCGGGATCAATGTATTCAAACCTCCGGTTATTAAAATGTACATGAATTAACACCCAATGGTTCCCGTTTTGACTATACGGTATTAAAATTTGGTTACAACCTTTCAGAGAAGGAAAATTGATATTTACGTAACGTTTATTCTTGAACATTGCTATACTGAAAGCAGACCCAAGTTTAACATCAGCCCGATTTCTGTGTTTTATCAAAATCTCCAATGCGAACTCTATTACAAAATTATCTGACCAGAAATTTACTTCCACTGTGTCACCATCATTCAAAGTTGTAAGAGAGTAATTGTATAATAGGTTAAAATTGTCATCTGTTTGCGAATTAACAGAGTCGTATCGCCCTACCACATAGCTTTCGCTCTTGGTCTATCTATAATATTCCGGATTATCTATCAATCCGTTCACTTAAAACAAATGTTTTATGTAAGGAGGGGTTGAGCTTGCACTAGACTGACTTTGGGATAGAGCATTTTTTGAATATAGTGCTTTATAATACGAATGTCTTGATTCTCTTTTTTCTATTTATGTTAAACTTGATTGAGTTACGTATATACACACAAGGTGTACTTCCTGCATTTGCGTAAGAACCGAGAACATTTTAATCTTAAAGCGTTATGCAAAATATTATTTTTCAGGATACCAAAAATAACTTTCTACTACTGGATTGCAAGATCGTTGTCCGGTAATTATGCTAGACGATAGGGGCAGATATGATACATATCTTTTAAAAATCTCCTCCGAGAACGCAGGACAGTAGTACGAATTCTTTTTGGCGATGCCCTCGTTTCGAATTTGTGATACTACCTGGTTCACTTGATAGAAATACTGGTAAAATTTCGAACTTTCATACTGACAGTTATAAAGGATTTCTGCACGCTCTGCTAAAATTTCATCATTCACTTTTTCATCGTTTTCTATGACTATGAATTTGTCATCTTCAAAATTTCGTTGTCAGCGTAATCTACCGATAGGCTTGTATACTTGCTGTTGGTTAATAATATAACATTTTTATACCACCTTTCAAAATCACGTCTCTTTTAATATGTCCTTCACGCGCCTTTCCTCAAAAGACTTATATATAATGTTTGAAAAAATCTTCATCAGGTGGGCGCAACATAAAGAGAGGTGAGTTATGTTGTTGTGTATCGCACCCAAAAATGTTATTTCATAACAAATATTAAAATAATCGGTGACAGATTATTAAACGAGGCGAAAATTGCTTTGATTTCCGCAAACGGTAGAATTTACATGTTGCCCGATCTGTAAGCCCATGGAATATAAAAGTACGTTTTTTATTAACTATATTTGCCGGCAGTCGCATCTATTGGTTGTCGGAAAAGTCATGACGCTTTTTTTTTGTTTATTTTAAGGCCATTCTATTCATATACAGCACAAACTTCAATCAATAACGTATTGCCCATTTTGATCGATGACCTTTCGCCATCTTTCAGGCAGCTTCATAATTCCTCGCTCGTAGAAGGATTTGTCTTTACCGGCAAAAAATTGAACAAGGTGCTGATCTACAGCTTCATCTGAAGTAAAGCGTATTTCTCTCAAGGAATTTTGAAGCGACCGAAACAAATGAAAATCAGATGGGGCAAGATCAGGCGAGTATGCTGGATGTGGTAACACATCCCATCCTAACTCCAGTAACTTTTGACGAGTGAGCAAACTTGTGTGCGGTCTCGCGTTGTCATGGTGGAACACAACTCCTTTGCGATTAATGAGCATCACCTTTTCCTGATGACTCTCTGCTTTCGCGATCGTGTTACGCGTATCTACACTTCGGGACCAAGACCGTTTGCGAACCACATTGTTGTAAACAATCCACTTTTTATCTCCCGTTATCAAGCGCTTTAAGAAAGGATCGTTTTCCTCACGTTTAAGGAGCATATCGCAGATGTCTACACGCGCCGTCAAATGAACCTCTCTCAGTTCGTGTGGTACCCAACGATCGAGTTTGCTTACGTATCCCAGTTTCTCCAAATGGTCGTGAACGGTTGAATGATGGATTTTTAAGGTTTCTGCAATTTCCCGTGTGGTGCAATGTGGGTTTGCTTCTACCAATGCCTTTAATTCGTCACTATCCAACTCAGTAGGCCGCCCTGATCGAGGTGCGTCATGGATATCAAAATCCCCATCTCGGAATTTTTTAAACCATCTCTGGCATTGCCGTTCTTGTAGTGCATGTTCTCCATAAACCTTTCTCAACGTTTCACACGCTTGTCTTGCGTTCTTGCCTTTGCGGAAGTAATACAGCAAAATGTGACGAAAATGCACAGTTTGGTCGTCCATCTTCAACGTCCTCTAAAATCGACGAGACTCAAATAAATCACTTAATTTTTTGGTGCAAATGAAGCTTGAAGTGTCAACTGTCAAACTACACAATCAACATACAAATGTCATTGACTCACGTACTTCCAACCATGCAATTGCATACTTTGTTGCATATACGTCATGACTTTTCCGACAACCCTATAAATGAACTGTTATTTTCTTATTTTCGATCTTATACATTTGCTATTTGATTATGTCTATTTGCTCTTTACTATGAATGTACACATGCAAGGGTTGTCCGACTTGTTGAATGTAATTTGAATATTCTCGCTGCATTAATATCAAATCCGTGATATCATCATTGTGACGGTCTAACTTCGATTTTGCGTCTGCTCTTATTTTCTTGAAGACGTGGCTGTTTTCAATCAAGTTTTCATTTGACTGGTTATACGCAATAGTGTCCGGACTAGAGAGCACTTATCAACAAATCTATTTCCCAATCAAGTCTCTCTCTATTCCGCGGACTTGTCGACTAATCAACTGGGAATGTACAAATTACGCGAAGAACTATATACATTTACTTTGTATCCGCTAATGTCACAGTCGGAGAAATTGTATTTTAGAATAAACATTTTGCAGTTCGGGTGTCCGCAATACCCATAAATGCTTAGTTTTCTTCCATTTTTGGAGAAATGGTATTTTTTAACGTTCAATATACATGTGTGGTTCACGGTTTTGAATATTCTCTCTTGTATAACGAATACTTAAGTTTTGCTGTTGAGTACGTTGTTTCCCATATATATACTTTTCCACTCAGCGTCGCTTAACGAAAATTTGTCCTCAGAATGTCGACACATGAATTTACGATCGAATTTATGACGTTGCAATGGAAAAACACCCCCGTCATTTTTAATATTATTACCCCCAACGGGTATACAAGAAATTTCTCCTACACTGAAGGTACTTTCAAAAATGTTGGCTACCGCACTATCTACGTACAGCTCTGAATCTGTTACGCTCCCCCTAGTACAAACATTCAAAGAATCATTATCGCCTGCGCAACACTATCACTTTTGCCGCAGTCCAATGTATAAGCAGTTTCTCCCTTTAGAAGTATATCATCCAAATCCGTGCAAACCACATTAGCTACATCGCGACTTGAATCATTTGACACTGATACGTTTTCCGTTGAAGACTGTGTTAGTAGTCCGCACATCCCAGCCATGTTACATTCTTCCGGACTCTTGCTGGCGGTACGGGAAATATCTTCCTTCCCCTCAGCCACTACGCAAGCAAAATCTGTGGGGATAACGGAGTCTACATCGCGTTTACTGTTAGCTCCGACAAAAATTAGGGTTTTAATATTATACCTGTTATTCACAATGATGCGTTTTATATTTTTCCTCTAGTAGTATTTTTCCCATAAAATGATGCAGCAAGACCAACTATATTATCGTCCACCGGGAGCCCCAGTACTTCGACGTACGAAACACGTACATCATTGGAAAATCTTGTCAACTGATGACAGTCTACCACCTTACGTACTTTTTATTTATGCGCTTGCTCCATATTTTTATAGTCGCCTACCAAATAAATGCTCACGCACCCAAAAAACAATAAAACTATGCAAATATTGGTATTATAGAGAATACCCTTTTATCTCTCCTTTGCTCTCCTATTTGCAATGGACTGGAAGATATGAAGATAAGCCTCAGAAAAATGAGCACTACACACCTCGACTAACGATGCGGCACTGGTATAAAATTCAAGATGGAATGAGCAGTGTTGCCACAATACCGATCATATGTACATCATCGCAGTTTAAAAGTATGAAATTGCAAAGTCAACAGAATGAAAATTGCACAAATAGTACGGCTTCCTTGCACTATTACTTGCACTTTCCCTCATTCTAGGCAAATGTCAATAATTACACACTGAAAATGAGTCAATCTTAGCGGCCAGGTCCTACACTGGCCAGGCGGTGAATGACGGGACAGGTTAAACCGACAGGCAGCATTGCCACCATTTTATCTTCTCCAATGATTCATTTTTTTTGCACTAGGACATTGCGTCTCATTAGCGCCAGATCCAATCTTGTATATGTATATCTCTAATTATGGACAAACACACGACGTCACAACATCCATGGCGAAGGCGAGATTCGAACTCGCGGCCCTGCCGGCCGGCTGATCAGTAGCACGACACTCTGACCCACGCGGCCAACCGAGGTCCCCTCCAATGATTCATGAACTGTAATATTCAAACAATAATCTCAAATATATGACCGCCGTGATTCTAGCAACACCGACCACCCAAACGGTAGTCCCTCTTCTCACCAACGGCCGCGTCGCGGTGGACAAACATCGCGCATTGTGTGTTGTCAGTGCTATCACATTATCTATTACATTCCCTGGCCGGGGCATGTTAAACAAAAACAAAATAAGTATACCGACTTCAGCAACAGTTTCAATAAATTTATGAGACCTATATAATCATT